TTACATTCTTGTATTTGTACTTTGCTTATTTTTTAGAAATATTTTCTCTTAATATTTATTCATTAGTTTTTGAATGTAGCTTCTTTTTTTAATTTCTATTTTATTTTTATTTGAAAATATATTTAGTATTAGATGAGAGTAATGCAGAACTCTAATTGCCTTCTATAAAAATTGTAAAAGAAATTATTTATTTTTACCGCCAACAAACAGCTCAAAGAGTATACTATATTTTTATTTATATATTTTTTATTATTTTTTCTTAGTTAGAAGATTTATAAATACTTTAAAATAATTAACAGTACCTTACAACAATGTTGTATACTTAAACAAAAGGTTTTCTTACATGCATTACTCTCCTTTAAATAATATTATTTTGCAATTTATTTCCATAATTTATATTTGAATTTTTTTAATATTGAAATCAATTTGGTATTCCCTTTGCCTACATAAATATAGAGCTCTTTCACTTGGATAGAGTTTTCTAATGAGTTTATTTGTATTTATATATGTATTCAAATATATTTTATTTCGTTGTCAACTTTTTTTTTGCTTACTGAATAATTCTATAACTATAAAAAATCGGTGGCGGCATTTCTGTAAACAATTTCCAAAATTTGTACACTGGAACAACATTCAGTTGCCAGTTTGGAAACGTTTGATATAATTCGCAAGTGGTTCTGGTTTGCTTTTCGACTTGTATTGTCCGCTTATTTCTGGGGAACAGGATTCTGATATTGTGAATTAACCACATACACATCCATATATATACATATACATATATACACACATCGACACGCACATTCACTCACAGTTACTTGCACACTCAAGCTCTCTCTCTCTTGGTCTCTCAGACTGATCATATTTAGGCCTTAAGTATATACGATCTACAAAATTGTTTTTAACTAAATTCAATGCACACATTCTCTTTTATTTCTCGTTTCTTTCAATTCAAAACTTGTGTAAAAATGACCCGAATTAACAACAAATGTGAAAAAAACGAATTAACTAAAAATCTATTAACTAAATCGATAAATGCCTTAACACTCATCGCTCGATCGCTTCCATCGACATCATCCTGTGGCAATTAACCAAATAACCAATTCGAAACGAATGATTTTCGCATACTGCATGGATGGCTCTCTCTCTCTCTCACGCTCGCTCGCTATCTCCACCTGTGTCTCTCACTGACTGACTCCCTGTGGTTGTTGGTGCTTTTGTGTGACCTCTGTGTGTCTCAATGCATGCATGATGACTGATGTTTGATGAACGCAACGATCTGCTCGCTTACCGGTTAGACACAGATTCGGGACTGGGACGCGCCACTCCGCCGCGTCGGGCTCCGTCACCAGGAATGGCGGCATCAGGTAGGCATATGCCATCTCCTTCTGGACCAGGCTCTTTGCCGCCAGGTTTGATATCGAAGCGTCGCGGATTTGATGATGGATCAAGCGATACGTCTTTAACTGCGAATGCTATCATGGAATACTCGGGTTTGTACTTAGTCTCAAAGAATTCTCAAGTTATTCATCCACAACAATCAATCAATCAATCAAGCATCATAATCGTATACATACACCATATACATATATTGGTTCTTCATGCATATACATCATTTGTACATCATTTTGGAACGCCTCATAGAAATTTCACACGTTTCGTTCATTCCGTTTATTTTCGCTCAGTTCTTAATTTGTTGCAACCATATACCAATTGGTTTTTCGTCTTGTATGTGCATTTCTTTCTCAGTTTCATACAATTATGATTTTGTGACATTTAACATACATATCGAGTTTATCCGCATATATATAGATATATATATATATATATGTATATATGATCTATACGAAAGTACATCAATGTACTACATAGGGACGTCGCGCGTATTTCAAGATGCAATTCCACTTCCATTCGTTGTTCCGTTTCGTCGTCAAATCCACGATTTCGATAGTCAAACCGAGCTGTGTCTTCTATAATATTATTATTAGTATTATATGAAAACGAAATTCTAATTAATCCCGATTGGTCCAATTAACCGCTGCACAATTGCAACAAAAAGAAACTAAAATTTATATATATTAAATGCAAGCAATTTTAATAGCTCTAAGTTTTTATCTGATTTTTTTTGTTATATATATTTGTTGTATCTATTTTAATTTTGGAATGTTTTAGAATAGCTAGTTGAAACTGTAAGTACATATAAATTAGAAATTTGCAAGTTCAAAAACTTCGGCCTTATAGCTAAATTTCATAGAAATTTTTATGAGTTTATATATGAAATATAACAGTAAACATGCATACATCTGCTCTACTAATCCAGATTAATACAGGCCAAAGTTCTATGGAACATATCTCTTTTGTATGCACGTTGCCTGAAAGACTAGAAGCAAACAAAAGAAAGCAATTGAAAATATTTGAAAATGAAAAAGCTTGCATTAGCACCGAGTAGAAATCCACGTGTAGATACAAAAATTGTAAATGTAGTTGAATACTAAGTGATATATGCTGTTCATTCGTAGGTCCAAAACTGTACAAACAACCAGCGGCCAAATCGAATCGCGGCATTATACTAAATGCCGTTGAATACTGCGTGTTTCCTGGCGCCGTGAATCGCGAGGCCAAGCAGAAAGTGCTCGAGAAGATTGCACGCTCGGAGGCCAAACACTTCCTTGTCCTCTTCCGGGATGCGGGCTGCCAATTCCGCGCCCTCTACAGTTACTTGCCCGAGACGGACCAAGTGACGAAGCTGTACGGCACGGGACCTAGTCAAGTCGACGAAGTCATGTTCGATAAATTCTTCAAGTAAGTGTTGTGTCATGTTTCGTTCAGATTCGTTCGTTGAGTTATTCACTTGTCCGTTGTGAGTTACCAATTGGAATCGACTATGAACTTTTGAACTTATTCAGTGATCAGGGAGGCAGCTAGTTCAATTGTTCATGAACAATTCCGATTGAGCTGTTCAGCTGAAGCTCAACGAGGAACTGTTGAATTTTAACATGAATTCCTAACTATAGCCTGTCGTTTAACGATTTTTCTCAATTTTCAGATATAACTCAGGTGGCAAATGCTTCTCACAGGTGCACACAAAGCATCTGACCGTTACGATAGACGCCTTCACAATACACAATTCCCTGTGGCAAGGCAAGCGAGTACAGTTGCCCAGCAAAAAGGACATGGCGCTTGTGATTTAAGTCGAAGTACGAAGCTGCTTTGCCCATGGCCCACTATTCTGCAATTTTAAATCAACTGCGAAAGCAAAGCGAATTAAAAGTTTTACTACGACATCAACAGAATGCACGAGTGCTTGGGTTTTGGGGCAGGACTCTAGGGCAAGGATTAGAGTCAGGATTAGGGTCAGGGTCAGGGTATGGCATATAATGGCTTAATAACTAATTGCACACGTTTGAGCGTCAGCAACAAATTGGAATTTACAAATATATTGTATTTATATTAATACAATGCGATAAAGATATTTAACTTGAATGTATACAGCCTAATAATAGAAAGAAAAAACACAACAAAAAAAAAACAAAAAAAAAACGATCAATAGAAAAAACTCCCGATATAAGAGCCAAAATAAAATCCAGCGGATAGCTTACAATTTTTTTGTCACATACACAAAAAACACACATACACACCACACACACATACAGAGAAAATTCAAAGATAATGAACAACAGATATTGTAGAAAATCTTTATTTTATTAATTTGTTTTAAATTGTTATGAAGTTTTTATGCGAAATATTGTTGTTTTGCCCCGAGAATTGTGAATGGGGGCTAAGAACAAAGAATTCGCCAGTCGACACTAATTTTAACGCCACTAGCTATTTATTTGTAAGACTAATTAATATTTACTTTTTATGCAAACTTAAAAAGGATTAATACAACTAATATTTAAAAGATACATACATACATATACCTATGCAACAAACTGAAAAACAAAAAGACTTTTAACTGGCTGACACATTTATTAGCTGTCGTCCTTGTTGTACAAATTATGGAAATGCTAACCACAATTAATTTACTAAATTAATTAATTATTAATTAATTTATTAAATTTTTTAACAAACACACACACCCACGCACTTATATATTTCATCGGAAAGTCAAATGCTTCAATGAACTCTAAAACAAAATTAGTAAGAAACGAGAAATATTTTCAAAAACTTTTTAACTCGTTTTCATAATATATTTTAAAGAATTTTCTTTTGGCTTCATTTTCACACCTTTGGAAATTGACATTTCAACTTGTTAGCGTATAACTGCCATTGACATAACTTTAGAAAATGTTGTCTAAACTTCTGTTAAAACAAACAAACCCCCAACACTTTTCAGACCGCTCAACAGCGCACCTAAATTCTGTTTGTTTTTTTTTAAATATTTAGTATGCATACTTAAATAAACTCATTTCTTTACTATAATTTTATTTGATTTTGTTTAAATAATTAATTTTGATTCGATAATCGAGCTAATTAACAACCTAAGAAGTGACAAACTAATAAGGCATTAAAACTGTGTGAACCGCCATAATTAGAAGGATTATAATTATATGCGGCCTCGGGCATATGTAACAAAATGGATAATACGAGGATTTGATTGATAAAACAAGTTTATAATATGTATGTACTATATATATATTTATCTGTGTCAGCGTTGTTGCGCCCTTGGCGTGAAAGGCTCCAACCTAATGAATTATATTAATGCGATCTAAACATTATTATATGAAATGTAATAAAGTTATTAAAAATGAATAATTTAACAAATTACGTTCACAATTGTATTTTGTTTTCGATCTAAATACCTATGAAATTAATTTTACAATTAAAGAGAAGAGATGTCGCCGTTATTCGAATCAGCAAAAAAACCGCGCGACTTACATTCGGCAAATTCACATTAACGCTCCCTGCGGCGGCGAAAGCAAACCCGAGCTGTTTGGAAAATTCTTAGACGTTGAATTTTAAGTTTTCTAGAAAATAATCTAGTTTTCTTTTAATTTAAATACTTATTTTAATTACAACTTAAAGATATAAAAAACCAAATTTTGAGTAATACAAAATTGGAATTTCATATATTGTGCTTAAATACGATAAAATGGGTTTTTACATTTGGAAATCATCACGCATATCATTGTAACGCAGAACGTGCTCCTTAATTTTGGATCCGTCAACCCATGTAACAAAATCTTGCAAATTCCGAGAGACTAGAAAAGCGGGATCCTTGACCATTTCTGGGCCTACGCGCACATGGCCCTGTTCAATAAGGTCGGTGGCGTGTTTAAGGTTCTCCGACATTCGCACTGTAAGTGTGTATGTGACCCATTAAATTTTAAATAACTATTTTATGTCTAATTTGTACTCACGTTTTACCATTACCACGGGCAAACGACGACGACAAAAATTACTAGCACACATTTTACTGGCGGTCTCTAGACTGAAATGATCATTGGAAACACCCAGGGCATGGAGTTTGTTCATTAGCATGGTAGATGCCTCAGCCTTGAATGGATCCGTTGCATCAAGCTTGGCTATTTTCTCAGCAAGCTCTCTAACTTCACGCGACAATTTATTATACCTGCGTAAACATAAATAAGTCACTATTAAAATTGGTACATACTTTGTACATACTTTGTGTAGTCCTCTCGCTTTTGAATGTGATAGCGCCGTAGGATTTTATTCTCATTGCTGCTGTTGTCCACTTTCCATGTGATGAAATCTACTTTTTTGAGCAACTTCTGCTCGTGATATTTAAGTTTTCGCACCATAATTTAATTTATTTAATTTTCTATGCTGCTCTGCTTGCCATGCACATGTGCGTTGTTATGACGTAGTGTTGGTAAACGTGGGTTGTGGTCTGCGTAGCCGTCAGCTGTTTTTGTTTGACAGCCAGTGTTGGAAATTGTAAAAAAAAGGTTTGCCTGCGAAATGTCAAGCATAATTGAATAAATATTTGCGGTTTTGTTTACGTTTATTAAAAAGCGCTGATCAAAGTATGGCAGCTAGTATTGATGAAGAGTCCACAGCCAAACCATCTGTCACCAGCGAAGAGGATCCGCTAGCCGAAGAACGACTTGGCTATGTACGCGAAGTTGGTTCACAAGCCGTTTGGAGCTTGTCATCCTGCAAGCCAGGTACGTTCTGCATATAGGAAAACGAGCAAGAGTAAAAACAAAATATAATTTAATAATTTTCATAAATTAAATCTAGGTTTCGGGGTAGAGCGCTTGCGGGATAATATAATGGACACTTACTGGCAGTCAGACGGCCAACTGCCTCACTTGGTCAACATTCAATTCCACAAGCGCACCAACATTAGCCAGATCTACATATACACCGACTACAAATTGGACGAGAGCTACACTCCATCGCGCATTTCGATACGCTCCGGCACCAACTTCAACGATCTGCAGGAGCTTCAGGTCATCGATCTGACCGAGCCCAATGGCTGGGTGCAGATACCCATTAAAGATGGCAATGTGAAATCGCTGCGCACTTTCATGCTGCAAATCGCTGTAATTTCTAATCATCAAAATGGCCGTGATACTCATATGCGGCAGATTCGGGTTCACGCCCCCTGCGGCGGCGAAAGCAAACACTATCCTCTCGAGTTGTTTGGCAAATTCGGAACCGTTGACTTTCAAAAATTTGCTACCATACGTTAATTTAAAAGAAACTATAATCTATAAGCTGTTTTTTTTCACTCTAGTATCCATTATAAATTCGTTTAATATAACAGTCCCTACTTGATTCACTCATTTTGAGTTACTTTTTATAGCTATTTAGTAAAGAAAACTGCAACATTTTATTAAAATGTCCTCTGATAATGGAAAGCAGTATAATATTTAGTACTCTATGAGTACACGAATATATTATGCATGTGTAAATTTATTGGAGCTTCAATTTGAATACAAATAACCAATTGTTTACAATCAGCTTAATATGTGTATGTGATTTTGTGTGTTGGTGTGTACCCTAAAGTCTTAAGTACAAATTAACAAATATGATTGCGTTCTTTATGTTAAATTATTATCGTTATTATCGTTATTGCGATTGCAAATGCAACATGGAAGTATCAACAAAAAATAATGTGTACAAACTTTATGGAAGCTTGTGCGAGGCTCGAATGGATTCGATTTTCGCCCTAAAAAAATATGTTGTCTTATGGTATATTTCGAATAATATGTTCTATTACTTTGCAGTTTTCAGCGTTTTGTAATGGTCTCTCTCTCCAGCATCAGTTGGTGACTCGCACTCATATGAAGCTTTCTTAAGACCGTCCTCAGTTAAAACTTCAGCCTTCTGCAAATAGGCCACAACGTTGGCCAACTGCTCGTAGGGGCAATCAAGTTGTTGACATTTATAAAAGTTGCGCAGCTGTGTGCCAAGAAGTGTACACTTCTCAAAATTAAGGAATCCATTAGCAAATCTAAAAATGGATTAATTATTAAGGTGTAAATTTAAGGAATTTAATATTGATGTGCTTGCCTAGTTGGATGACTCTCATGAATGGCGTAGATATCCTTTAGAAATAGCGAGAAGAATGGTATGATGGCACGTTCAATTTTATTAGCTGTTTCGCGTTCGGACCGCCAAATGGCGGCTTTCATGGTTGATCGATAGTTTTGAAAATCAGAACTGGGATTCATTTGATGTTCCAAGCCCTCAAATTTGGTTGTCTGCAGCTTAGACCACTGCAAGAAAATATAGTTTATGATCCAGTAATTTTACTTTAAGAGTTGCACTTACAGTTTTCTTAAGCCGTGATATATTTGTCGTATTGAGAGCTGTCAAAATAGCCATCAAACTGTTAAAATTTCCGATATTAAAACATTCCAAAGCTGTTTCAATCCAGAACTCAATCATCTGCGCACGCTGGGACTTTTTGCCAAGCTGTTGATGGGAAGAGAGTAGGTTAATAACGTGCATTTGATGTGTGCTGGACTTACTCACCTTGAGTATCTCCGTGGCAGTTAATGAGGAGAGCTGATTGAACCACTGCACGTAGGCTTCAATGCTTACATCAGCCTGTTTTGCTGAGGTGCAGTGGGAGCCTAACGTGCTGGCCTTTGTTTGTGACATGCACACTTTAAATTCGCCGTTGCTTATCAATTCTATAAACTCTTCCAGTCGTAACTGCGAAAGGTAGGCATATTCAATGGCATAAAGCTGGTGTGCCAATTCAAATGCGCTGCTGCACTTGGTGAGCACATTATCTGTTTTATAAACATTCGCAGCAAAACGTTTTAGTGACTTAATACTGCTCTGTCGCCCCAACGAACTGGCCGAGGCCTGCTTGGCCAGCATATACTGTAGTTGTGAGCGTCGACTTGCATCCTGGCGATCAAGTGTGTCGGGCAGGCAATCAAGAAAGGAGCTTAAAGCTTTGTTGCCGTTCTGTTTGCGCAACTGTTGAAGCAGTGTCTCGTTCCGAAAGTCATTGGGGCATATGCGCAACCAGTGGCTCAGGAGACGCAGGAGCTCATCTTCTTGTCCGTGGCACTGTTGAATCAACATGGACAGCAGTTCTTGCATTGGTACAAACAGACGAGCGCATAATATAAATGCTAATTCCATGTCCTCGTTTTTGCAGCTGGCCAGAAGCGAGACAAGTGTGCTCAAATTACCAGCGGCTGGCAAGTCTTTGGCATAAGCTGGCGTTGTTTGGCAATCGTTAACTAAATCGCATGGCTCTGTGATTTGTAGGTGCGTGCTCTGTAAATGGAATGCCATTAGAATTGATTTCTATTTATTATTATTGTTGATGCATTGTGTCCTTACCAGCATAGCGACCGACACGGCGTCAGCTTCATCAGCCGAGCTGGGAATGTCACAGTACAAAGAATCTGTTTGCGTGTCGCGAACATTGATTTGCGTATAGGGCATACTCATTGAGACGCTGTGGAAGAGGCCGTCGTGGCCCGAATCGCAACTGCTTATATTCGAGCTCTTCTCGCCCAGGGTTGTGGCAGTTGACACATTAGAGGCAGAGGCCGAGCCAATCACTTGATCCGAGCCGGTAATGGCAGAGCTGCTCGACATGAGTGAGGCATTTGAAAAGGTTTGATTCAATTGACGACCCAAAGGATCACCAGCTCTATTTGGCTCCCCATCAGTTGTTGTCTGTGAAGAGAACGTGGAGTTCGAATTTGTCCGATACTTCAACGCATTCTCTGGCGTCGCACGTGCCAATGCGTTTTGCTGTTGAACTGGCTGCCAGATCTCTTTCTGGTGTGACTGATGGTTGAAGTGCTCTTTGGTTTCGACAGTTCGTTCGTCCAGCACCTGTCCGTTACGGGAGACCAGCACCTCCTCGGTGGTGGTTAGCGAGGATTTAACAGTCAGCGATGTTTCCACTTCAATGGGCTGTTGCGCGAGTCCAGCACGAAACAGCAACTGGTTCAAATGCTCTACAGCCGGCATCTGTCCATCGAGCAGAGCGCTCTTAATGGCACTGGCATCATCCGCCGGCAGGCCATCCAATTTGACCGGCACACCATTGATCAGCAGCACCTCCTCCTGTTGCACCGAAGACGACGTTTCGCAGTCCACAATTTTAACATCCTTGCCGAAAAGAGATTCTACTGCATTCATAATGTCTTCGTCCATTTTGAAGTTTGATCAGTTAGTCAATAGTAGGGTATATGGTAATTAATTAGGTATATGATGTTGGCTTTGTGTTGGTAAAATGCATATGACCCTGGGGGTTTCTTTGGATTAATATCAATGCACTAGACTAGCGAGCACATTTCTGCAATAAGGAATTCGAATTAGGCAATTAGGCAACAAACGCACACACAAAGAACAGTTTAATTATCAATGAAAAATGTTGAACAATGGGAATTGTTATTGAATAAAACGAGAACGTGAATGAGAATTCAGCCTTGTGACACGGGGGTGACAACGCCCACCACTTTCCCAAAAAGTGGGTTGGGCATTTGGGGTCTGTTTTGTTAGAATTGTAGCTACACACCTGCAGGAACAACATTAGGTATTTGCGTTCCAATTCACGCACAATTCACATTTTTTATGGTGTTTGCATTTTCATGCACATTAATAGCTCGTTTCTGTTGCGAAATAAACAGTTTACTTGGCGACTATTTATATTTATTTATTTATTTATTTCCCACTCCAGCAGTGTTGTGTTGTTCACGAATGAGTGAACAATAGAACATGAGAAGAACCACTTGAACCAGTTGACTGAATGATAACGTTTTACAGCACTAATAACAACTACCCGAAACTTTGCGCTCTGTATTTGCTTCACACTCGAATGAATTTATACTGTTTAGTAGATTGAAGCAAAAAAAAGAAGCCAATATTTACCGAATTTAATATATGAAAAATGAAACAACTTATTAATTCATTCATCATTCATTAATCTTATATTATTTGCTGGCTTAAATGAAAGCCGTAAACGCACATTTTACAGCCATCACAATCTTTTGTAACGATGCAGCCCTGGACTCTCCAATATGATAATTGGCGGCAAGTTTTGAAAGTCAAAATAAATGGAGATTTCCACTTTTATGATTAAATCAACGATTTATATTCCTTTATTAATCAATAATAAAAATATATGAAAATAGCGCATTCATTTATTGTAATTAATAAACATGACCTTGAGTTCTCTAATCATATAAAAAGTGTTAATTAAACATTAATCAAGTCTTAGAACAATAAAATTTATTTGTTTGAAATTGTATAACTTTTCTTTCAATACATAGACAAATATTTAGCTATAAAGATATTCTGTCATTAAACAATGGGATAACTGCACTCGGTGGCAATGCCGCAGAAGTTTTTGCCACGTGGCAAGCGGAAGTAGCCTTGTTCGCCCCAGATCGTGTCCCACGAATTCTTGATAATCCAATAGTCCTGTCCATTTTCGGAACCGTAACCAACGACCAGAACGGAGTGATTTACCTCACCCTTGTTACATTCCTCATCCGCATAAATACCACTCTTGTACAGCAGCAAGCTCTCCAGTCCGTACACCGAGCAAGCCAATGGACCCTGAGTAGCAATCACCGTTTTCATGGCTTTTTCATCCTTGGGTGGAATAGCTGCGAATCCGGTGATTTGTGCGCCAGACAAGTTACTCTTGTACTTGCAATTATCCTTCCTATCCACGTAGGGATATTTGCCGCCAACGGCAATGCCATCCTGCTGCTTTACAAAATTGAAGGCATACTCCTGGAAGCCGCCATCGCAGCCATCAAGACCCAGATTCTTGGGGCCGCAATCGACCAGATTCTGCTCCGACAGATTTGGCAGTTTACCCGTTTTCCGGAACACGTGACCCTCAATGGCACCAGTTGCGGCAAACGACCAACAGGAACCACAGTCGCCCTGGAATTTGACGGGCGTGACGCCGCCCTTCTCACGCCAATCAAAGGAGTCAGGCACCTTGGCATTCTTATTCAGCTTGGGTGACAGACGATGCGCCTTCGCGCTTTCTCTGCAAGACAGCAGAAGAAGACATCCCAGTTGAGCACATAATTAGTTTTTGCTATTATATGTCAAAAGACTTGACTTTGATTCGTGCGTTCACTTACTCGCCGGACGATGACTTCCTTAAGCCAGTCAACTGCTTGAGGAACTCAGCATTCGTTAGATCAGCAAATGCATTCACAGCCAGCTCATAGGTCTTAGCTCCGCCCTTGAAGGCCGCATTGGTGGCATCAACCAAGCTCTTTCGTGCACCAAAGATGCCCTCTCTCAACTGACGATCAGCTGCCGAGGCATACGTTTTGCCAGATTGCGCCTATTGAACAGGCAATTTGTTAATCATTAGCTCTTTTTTGGTATTACTCAAATGAACTTACCAAAAATTCACCAAAATCTTTCACATTTGTGATCACAGGCGGTGAAGGCAATCTGCTGGCAATGACTGAGACCGTTTGCTGCAGTCTATTTGCATGCTGTTCCAGATTTGATCCCAAATTTGCAGCAAAGTTACCACCGAAATTTCCACGAAAGCCACCGAACTGAGCAGAGGCTAAGGCCACGAACAGGGTTAGGATTAGCAACTGCCTCATAATGATCTGTGAGCATGAGAGGAAGGTTTCCAAAGGTTACATAAATTTCTATGCAAGACGGTTAACTGAGCTTCAGACCAGAATTTGTCTGTTCTCAGAGAAAAGTATTTGAAATGACATTCACTCTAGAGATTGCATATATATATATATATATATATATATATATATATATATATATATATATATATATATATATATATATATAAGGTGTACAAAAAGTCACAAGGTTTTTAGAAAATGAATAAGCTTTTAATTATTTTTTAATAATATTTAGTATTTCGCAACGGGAACTGTTGCCAGGCTACACAAAAAGCATTTATTGAAATTGATTGTTAAATTCTGAAATCAAGTTTCGCCAGTTAATTAGGCGTCACCAGGTTTGTGTTTATGAACAAATCAAATTAAACGTAAATCTTCATCAATGTGCTTTTTTTTATCATTATCAATGCAGTTTGCTGCTGCTGCTTTATAATTTTCACTTGAGCGACGATTAGCCTGCGCGGTAAAACCAGAAAACCTTGCACCTCATCAGATCGAGGTGATTAAAAAAAGCAAACATTTTATTGACATGCGGTCGCTGAGCTGACTTGCTTTAGAGTTCAGTTAAGTCAGATATTATGCAATTATTGAAAGCACATTTCGTGCTAATTATTTAAAATGCATTTCGCTTTGTTGCTTAATCACATTCAATTAACACACTCCAACAGGATTTAGTAAACATTAGAATTTATACTATTTTAAAGGTTTTAAGTCTGTTGAATCCGAATCGCTTTATCTACTTTTGAGTTTCTGTTCTTGATTATTAAAACTTATTTTTTTAAGACTTTATCATAATATCTGAAAGCACTGATCTTCGCCTTTGAAATTTTTGAAAAGTTATTTATTAAATTGTTCCTTTCTACCTCTCTTTCCCACATTTATGCCTCTCTTTGGCTAGTCTCTTTCAACGCAAGATAGTTCATTAATAAATATTAATTTTATTTTTTTTTTCAAAAATATTTTGTAGCTAAAAAGCAACACTTTAAAATGCCGTCTATTGTTTTTTTTTTTTAAATTTCCACTTTATTGTAAAGATTTTAAAAGTTTTCAAAAATTTCGCTTTCGACACTTTTCTCAAAAAAATCTCAACCACAATTCACTTTCTTTCATAATCACACTCAAAACTTTTTGTCACTTTTATATTATATTAAATACACATCTATATATGGTCTATTTGTATGAGCTATATGAGCTCTTCTCTAGTATTATAAATAACCTTTCTGTGCTGTATCGTCAGTAGCAATGCGAGAGCCAGATGTTAGGAATTGCGCTTTTAAAGCTGCGAGCGTCGTCGGGGCTTGATTCTGGGTTTTCATGCAAATTTAATTAGAAATGTTTAATACGAAAATTTATAAGCCAGTCGCCCCTCGTCTCAAGTTATATGTATGCATATGTAAGTCACAGATATTGTAGAAAAACTGGATGCTCTTACATTTTTGAGTTGTCTCGGCGTTTTTAATGTGTTATGTCTACTGGTTTTTGGGATATATTGACACTAATTAGCGACATGTATAATAGCAGCAGACCTACGATAAAACTATAGATATATATGTATATATTTTGATATATATCAATATATAGATATAAACATTTGTATATCTTCTTTCAAGAAAGCGGAACGGGTTCTTTGTTTGAGTAAACAAATACAAGAGTAGCTCCTAATCAAGCATGTGTACCAGGTGAATACTTTTCACGGGGACTCCCAATTGTATAGATATGTTATTCTGTAAAGGAGGATACTACTTATATATATATTAGTTAAGTTATAACAAAGTTTTGAGCTGTAACTTTACCTTTGACTTACTTTCAGCAGCAGCACAGCTGAATACATAATTAGTTTTTGCTTTTATTTATCAACAGACTTGGCTTTGATTCGTTTGTTTGGTTACTCGTCGGACCATGACTTCCTTAAGCCAGTCAACTACTTTAGGAACTCAGCATTCGTTAGATTCGTTAAGTTAAAGCTTCGCCCTTGAAGGCTTAATAACCCAGCGTAAATTGCAGATAAACAATGGTTCGTTGACATAAGAGGTAATTTTTGGTGAATATTTTAGGGTATGCAATAGGACTTCCAACTCACAGCTCTAGCAACATGTGACTAATCATGTGAGTCACAAGCTGATTCTGGATTCTTCAGTGCTAAAGCTCTTTATTATCTCTCTATTATCATCTTCTGTTTCCACATAATACGTATTTTAAATGGCATATTAATTCGTTGTCTTGTATTAGATTCAATTAGACTGGAGTCGCTCATAACTGATTCCATTCCGAGATGAAGCCAGCAGCTGTTGCTGCACAGCATTAACTTTGCCATGAACATCTTAAATTTGCTTAAATGTGATTGTTTATTTTGTTTTATTTAGGTGTTCATTTTAAATGTTAATTGGAGCTTTGCATAATTTAATATATATGTATATATATATACATATAATTTTTGAGTTGTATAAAAAGCTGGTTAAGATTCAGTTCGTTAATAAATAAATTACGTAATGCATAATGTATGCTGTAAACGTTTGTTATGTTTTGTTTCCTTGTTCTATATATAAAAAAGAAATACAGTTTGCAATTTATGAACATCTTTATATATTATAGTATCTTCAGTATGTCATTTACAGTAATTTAACATAAATAATTAATATACGATTATAAATACAACAAATTCAGTTCTTCTTCAAGGGACGCGGCGTGAGCTTTGGCTCCTGTGGCGGCTCTCTAATAGGCGTTGCCTCTGGCAGGAATATAATGGGTAGACTCAGGTCCACAGGTGGAGCTGCCCAGTTCTCAGTCATGGCGAACCGCTGCAAACGTTTGAGAGAGTTATAAGCTGTAAACTAGGCTAAGTAATATTTTCTGACTTACTCCACTGGGCGCATATATTGAGCCACGTTCGATCTGAGGATGGGCTGACGCAACAGCCAGGATCAGTGCAATCAGAGCTACAGTGATGACCTTCATATTGTTTAGTGTGTGTTGCTAAGGATGCTTGGCTAAGGAATGTTCTCACGATTCGAATGCTGTGCTTGCAATGATTCTGCATTGTGGAGGATTTTGCTTATATACAAACGCCTTTCGCTTTGCCAAACGGATGCAAAAACACAAAGTGCAAGTAAAAAATGTTTATTTTAAATCTTTAAACAATTGAAGTACTCACAAAGCTTCCGTTGTATGAATCAGATTAAATTTATATTGCAATTGCTTGCTTCCTTCATTCATTTTTCACTTTCGATTGCCACAGGTCGCAGCAAAGGATTTTGATATAATATGATGGTAAATAGAATTTCTGCTGCTAAGAGAATTCTCTTTATTTTATGTTATTAACATAATTGATTGTTTGAACAAAGCTAACAAATTTAAAAGAGTATATTAGTTTTATGCAATTGAAATTTCCCGTTTTCCCCATAGCAAAAGGTATTTAATACATAAGTAAATAATTAAACTTTTAATTGAAATAGTCATAATGATATATTCAGAGGTCTTTGGTAGTGCTTGCAGTCGAGTGAGTTTGCAAAAATTATTTTAATCTTTTATCTACTTTATGATGAAGCCAATATTTCGTAGTGAACTTTACATATACAATTTTTACATTTATATTGAATGAATGAAATTTAAGAGCAGCTTTATATTGCCCAACTTATAGGAACTGTTACTAAAAACCGCTTTTTGATATATATTTCCACGCATTTTTTCCGATTGGTATAGCTTCAAAGGCCGATTGAATTTTTGCATAGGGTAGCAGCAAATGTCACCAAACGTCACCGAGAATGACGTATATCATTGCATCATGATAAGGCACTTAGCAAGTCTCAACCGTATCCGTCACAGTATCGATAGCATTTGCCAGCCAGCATCCATTCAATTGGCAGTGGATTCGTAGACGTAGCTGTGGTCGGTTATAATACACTCAAAGGTGTTCATTTCATTCTCATTCTAATAATCTTGTAAGTTTACTCCTTGAAAGTATTTTACTTTGAATTTAAGATTGCAATTTATATAAAACAAAACAAATACTTTTAAATATGTAACTATATAAGATATAATTATACTGCAAAGTGAAGAAGATCTATTAGTATAGCCCATATATATAATATGTATACAAGGTATGAATATAGACCTCATAATTTAAATAGAAAATATGATAGATCGCATTAAGCTGATTTGACGTAAGGTACCTTCAGAATTATAATTAAAGCACATTATGTTTTACACATATATTAAATTATATTTCATATTATATTACGACAAACATTTTTTTAGCTTCCAAGCCAAATGATTCATCCATGGAAACTTTTGGCAATTATCTTGCTACTTGCCAAACAGCTGACAGCAAGTCCTTTAGAAGCGAAGCCCGTGGTATCAACTGAGTTTATAATACTCCACAATAATGATATGCACTCGAGGTTCGAGCAGACGAACGTCAACAGTGAAAGCTGTCCTCCGGAGGATGTCAAAAACAATAAATGCTACGGTGGCTTTGCACGTGTAGCCCATGAGTAAATTGCATAAAAGAGATTTATCACTCAGGTAAATAATAGTACTTTGTTACAGAGTTCGCAAACATCGTGCAGAGGCCAAGAATGGAGGAACTCCAGTATTTTATTTGAATGCCGGTGATACGTATGCTGGAACCGCATGGTTCACAATCTTCAAACATAAAATCGCCAGTGATTTTCTCAACAAATTGAAACCAGATGCCATGGTAAAAAAACATTATTAAAGTGTGTGAAATAATTTATTGATATATTATATTTTCATTTTAGTCTTTGGGAAATCACGAGTTTGATGAGAAGTTAGAGGGCCTCATACCATTTTTAAATGACGTCAGTTTCCCAGTGTTGGCCAGCAATCTGAACTTTACAGGGGAACCAGCATTGGCTGCAGCTAAGCATTTAGCCAATTCAACTATACTCGATGCAAATGGCACAAAAGTTGCTGTGATTGGATACCTCACGCCAGAGACGAGTTTGCTGTCAATAAAAACCAATGTTGAGTTTTATGAAGAGATCGATTCTATCAAGTGAGTAGCCTGATTTGGTTGATTGTCAGCTACTTAAATAATGATAGTAATATTAATTTATACACCTTTACCCTTATGTGAACTGCTTACTTTCAGCGCAGAGGCAGCTAAGCTTACGGCTCAAGGGTATACAATTATTATTGCCTTGGGACACTCAGGCTATAGAAAGGATCAGGAAATAGCTAGGAACTGTCCCGAAGTCGATATCGTTATTGGCGGACATACGAACACTTTCTTGTTCAATGGACCACAGCCAAGTGTCGAAAGTATAGACGGTCCCTATCCGACTATGATAACACAGAAGAGTGGGAAACAAGTTCCTGTCCTTCAGGCCTACGCCTACACGAAGTACTTGGGCAAATTACATGTGAAGGTAAGTTGAACCTGAAACAAACAAACTATATACTAAAGGAGGTTTATTAACAGTTCGATAAAGATGGAAATCTAATCGAATTTGATGGCTCGCCGATACTACTCGATGCTAGCGTGCCGCAAGAGAAGGACGTGCTGGATCTGCTCAGCGTGTACAGAGAGAATATTACAGCATTAGAAAATTCTGTGGTAGGGCATTCCAAGGTGTATTTGGAGGGCCGTAAGGCCTATTGTCGTTCCGTCGAGTGTAATATGGGAAATCTAATTACCGATGCAATGATATTTAGTAGAGTATTGGAAGATCAGGGCGGCGATTACTGGACAGATGCAGCTATTGCCTTGCATCACGCGGGCGGTGAGTACTTGCTGTAAATTCAAGAGAAGTATGAGACTTAAGCCTTACATTTCAGGTATACGCAGCTCAATTGAACGAAAGTCGGATGGAATTATAACTTTAGGCGATCTCATTACGGTTTTTCCGTTCGATAATGATATATATGTCTCACGAATTAGTGGCAAGACTTTAAGAAACGCACTTGAGCATTCGGTTTCGTCTAGATTCAATGAATCGAATGGAGCGTTTCTTCAGGTATCCGGCATACATGTGGCCTACAATAAAGCTATGCCAGATGGTAGCCGTGTTGTATCTGTGCAAGTGCGATGCGCTGACTGCATAGTGCCTTCGTACAGTGATCTGAATAATAACGCCTACTACAATGTGATCGTGCCACAGTTTATTCTTGATGGCGGGTTGGATTTCGCTTTGGTAGAGGAATCTAACCCTGTGAAAATACTTATGCAAAAGTCTATCGTTGCAGCTGTTCGCCAATACTTTAAGTACCGTGACTTCGTATTTACGGGACTGGAAGGTCGCATTGTGTTCACGGGTTCAAATTAATCCAATTTATATACAATAATATTAAGCAGAAATAAAACTCGATCACAGCCAGAGAGCAGTTAAAAATATTTAAATATCAATATTTTCGGGCTTTCCGTGTCGAGATATTAAAAAAGTAAAGTCAGATAATATTTATGAAAGTATGTGCATATATAATATTTTACATTACAAACATTATAAAACTAGCTAGAATTCGATTACCTGTAAATCGGTATTTAGCACAATATGAGTTCACTGAAAGTATCTTTCAATATAGGTACTAATAGCAGTAAAGTTCTTTAGTTTTGAGATATATATTTCGTATATCAGTCTCATTTGCAATGCTGCCTAGTTCATAGTTAACTTATCAACTTCAATCATTTATAGACTAAATAACAAAATAAAAACAGCAAATGAATAAATGAGTCTCAAAAGTGTTTCAATGATCGTCAAGTGGAATGTGGATTACTGGATTTTCATCATACTATTGCTATTGTTTGTTGGGCGAAATCTAGGCTTTAGGTTCTCCATAGTACACAACAATGATATACGAGGCAGATATGTGTCTATAAAGAGCCCCAAAGAAACTTGTCCCATAGGCGACGATGAGCGGGGTCTGTGCTTTGGGGGCATGGCGAGAGTAGCTACGGCGTGAGTATTTCCAACGATTTGGCGTTTGGATCGATCCAGCTGCTTTTTGTTTAGTGTGGCCAAGGCACGAGCTGAGGGTCCGACGATTTATCTGAATGCTGGCAATACATTTCAAGGCACGCCCTGGTATACTTTATACAAGGGAGATCTAGCGGCTGAGCTGCTGAATATTATTGAACCAGATGCAGTGGTAGGAAATGAAAACGTTCATTAAATCTCGTAAACATCCCAGACTTACACATTTCCTGCCTTAAACAGTCTTTTGGCAATCATGAGTTCGATGACAACGTGAAAGGTCTGATGCCTTTTTTAAGGAATGCAAAGTTTCCCGTTGTCTGCACTAATATGGAGTTTGAGAAGAATCCAATACTACGCAACATTACCAACTTAGCCAAGTCGGTTATCATCACAAAATTTGAAATGAAGATTGGAGTCGTCGGCTATGTAACACCCATGACAGTGAGTGAAGTGGCAGGTCTTCAAGTTGAAATTCAAAATGAAATACCGGCCATAAAGTGAGTCTGAAATCGGACTATTTTACAATAATCACGTAGTTTGTCTCATTAGTGCCGAAGTGAAAAAACTAATTGCTAAGGGAGTTAAGATCATCATTGCCCTCGGAAACTCTGGCTACAAAATGGATCAAGAGATTGCCGAGAATTGCATGGATGTCGACATTGTCGTCGGCGGACACTCGAGAACGTTTCTATTCACTGGCTCTCCACCAGCTAAGGAGATACCTGAGGGCAATTATCCGACTGTGGTCACCCGATCAAATGGTCAACAAGTGCCTGTGGTTCAGGCATATGCATTTGGCAAATATTTGGGTAAACTTGATGTCGAGGTAAGTTAAATGGGGAACAATCAGTTGAACTCTCTGTAGAACATATAATATAAATAAGTATTAATAGAGATAGTTAGTCGGCTGTAGGTAGGCCATTAGGTAGGACAAGTAAACACGGGAAGCATTACATAGAACCAATAGACTCATTTCACTATATGAACGAGCATGTATTTATAAGATAAATTCGAACAGTTTGACAATGGAGGATATCTGATCAAATATACTGGCTCACCCATACTATTGGACGATTCGATACAGCATGATATCAGAGTCCGATCTATGTTGGCCGGAAAGCGAGCTACAATAGAAAAACTTGAAGAGAAAATTGTTGGCACAACGAAGGTGCTGCTCAATGGGGACCCATCCGTGTGCCGAGAGCGCGAATGTAATTTTGGCAGCTTCATTGCAGATGCCTTTGTCTACGCCCGTGTTATTGAGAACTACGGCGGTGTTTATTGGACGGATGCTGCAATAGGCATCATGAATGCGGGAGGTAATTGACTTAAATCTTTATATATTCAAGAAACTTTTGACAGATCTCCATTAGGTATACGCTCGAGCATAGATCCGGGATCAGATGGATCCATAAGCGAAATGGATGTCATGAAGGCTTTGCCCTTTGGCAATCGCGTAGTAGTCAGTCGGATTACGGGCAAAGATCTTCTCAAAGCTTTGGAGTATTCGGCCACGTTGCGTCACACCAAGAAAGATGGCGGCTTTCTGCAGGTGTCTGGCATTCGCATGGTCATCAACTACAATCAACCCAAGGGAAGGCGCATCACATCAATAAACGTTCTATGCTCTCACTGTAGAATTCCCGAATACCTGCCCTTAATTAAAGACCGACACTATTCGGTGATTGTGCCCAATTATCTTTTCAATGGTGGCGATGGTCACAAATACTTCAAGGATCCCACAGAACCGAGTTTTGAAGAGCTCGAACTGATTGATAGGGAAATCTTAAACAAGTACTATATGGAGCACAAAGTGGTTTATCCCATGCTGGAAGGTCGCATAACTATAATTAACAAAAAGCGGCGAACAAGTGCCGCATCGACCCAAACACAATGTTTACTCATTCCCATTGTTCTAATTACCAAATATTCTATATTTTTTTATTGGTAATACCCTTTATGATATTTTGTAAAATATATATTTAGCTATATTTATATATATATATTTATATATATTATTTATATATATTTAAGACAAATCAGGAACATATATGCCATAGTACACATCGCGTCTTCTGCCCGTTACACACAGAACAAAAAACATTTGAAGTAGAGTATCTTGCAATCGAAAGGTTTCTCACCTGCTATTAGCCAGACTCTGCATGGAGAAACTGCAAGAGACTGCTAATCGCAGTCATTAATTGACAGCAATACCTAAAGCTAAGGTCTAACTAAGTATGTAATATGATCATCTTCGTTCTTCCACGGTGGATCATTAGCGATCTAATGTGGACTTTCGTCAGCTCAATTTTTTTAGTTTTCGTTAATTACTTAGTGCCGGGTCGTCGCACCGCCAGCTTGTGCATTGACCCTCCACCATTATACGACGCCCTTGGGCAGAGATGTGTCTATTTTTTATTTTACTCCTATATATGTGTGTATATATAGAGCCTCTCTGTAACAAGACACGCACTAATAAACACGGTCTGCTTAATCGGCTCGCACCTACCTTAGCTACCTCTTTGTCTGCCTGCAATCAAGTTAGAACACCAATTTAATCTTTGGCTCTTACCAAGTTGATCTCATCACAATTTCGAGAACCCAAATACAGATGCAATTCAAAAAGCAAATTACTTCACTAAAAGTGCTGAGCAAAATATATTACGTATATATAAATGTTCTGTAGTTTCCGAAAAGTTAGCTTTAAATTATAGTTTAGAAAGTTACGATATATGTTCGATAAAACTAAGTGTTATCATCGGGATTTCCTCTTGGAAAGTATTTTAGTCTAACAGCATAGAAAGAGTTGAATTTTTGTCAAACAGAAACATATATTTTTATATTATATATGAATGGGTGGAGTATGGAACGGTCGCCTGTGTAAGGTAAAAACATTGACTAATTATTTACTTTATGACATTTGCAGTTCAAGTTCCTTTAGAATCTAATACTAGTTTTAAAAATTTTCTGAGAAATAGAAAAATATGCTTGTAATTAGGACAAATATTATTATACTTCAAGTCTCTAGCTAGAACAAACGTATAGACAGATAGATTCATAGATTTGGCTGTTCTTACGAGTCAAGAATATATATACCCTATGCAATCTGCCATGTATTCATATTTTATTATGTTATTTTAGTAATATTTACATCCACTTATATCATAAGGGTCAATCATGTGGCAGGTGACATCCAACGGATCATTAAAAGAACGAGTTTATATTATTATAGTTATAATTTGTTTAGCTAAGCTTTTTCCGCCTTTTGAATTAAACCTCCTGGTTAGCTTGCTTCAATGTGCATTCGCGTGTGCCCGTTGAGCTTGAGATCTGAGTCCCCCCAATCCTTGTGCTTGCCCTTGACTCTAGATACGAGTAGCTACCGGCGCGTTTAGGTGCTACTGCTGCTGTTGTTGCTGTTGCTGATGTCGTGAGAAACACACTCACATACATACATATACACACGTACATACATGCACTTGAAAGGCAAAGGTAAAGACAGCAAATGACTCGGTCGTAGGCGACACAAAACACTATCTGCTGGCAGTGGCTGTGGCTCTGGCTCTGGCTCTGGCTTTGACTTTGACTTTGACTTTGACTTTGAGTTTGGCCTAGGGCTTAAGGCCCTGGCAATGGGGAAGTCTTCTTCTTCAGTAATTATAGCGAGCAGCTTAACTTAAACTCTGTCTCGCCACTTGATGTCAGCTGTGCTTTGGATTCTTGGTTTTCGGCTCTCTCCGGGGTCTTTGGCTGGGCGTCGGTCAAGTGCAGAATCGGGCATTTTGCACGGCACTTTAGCTTTCAGCTATCAGTCATTCAGTCATTCGCTCATTCAGTTAGTCATGGTTAGCAACAACAACAAGAGCAGCAGAAAAAGGTTCTTGAACTCACCCACACCCGAACCCGGACCCGCACCCGCATTTCTATTCGCATTCACAGTCACATTGAATGTCTGCTTAAATGCCGAGATGTTGGCAGTGGCATTTCAATTTGCCAAATAGACTCGCCACTAACTAAGTGTGTGTGTAGGTGTGTGTGTGTGGGTGTGTGAGTGTCTGTTTGTAATGACCCTGGCCGTGGAAATGAGACCTGGGACCATCTGTTAGGCTGACACTTGGTAAGAGCATAGGTAACTCGTAAGTATAAGCTTCTTCGGCCTCCCATCCCCCTCTTCCTCTTCCTTGCCCAATTTAAACGGTAAATGTTCTTATAAAAGAGAACTTCCGTCTTTGAGTTTCATTGCTGACTTCCTCAACTCCGTATTCTAATGGCCATATTAGTGGCACTAACTGGCATTCACGCTGCTCTACATCAAATTGAGTCTAGGAGCTTTGGGGCACGTGAGTGTCCCCACGAAAGATCATGTTCGGTTGATAAGTAGGTTGGGGGCTGAGTATGTGGAATAACAGTTGAAGCAACAAATTAGTTGAAAATAATCTTCATTCAGCGCGATTTTCGTGTTTTGACTTTTGTTGTAGTTGTTATTTTTCATGGCTTTGTTATTTTGCTGCCAGTTGCCAGTTGCCTATTGCCTTTTGCCTTTTGCCTTTTGCCAGTTGGTCGTGATTTTTTTGCCGCAGTTCGCCAGAAACGTTGAATTGGCTTCACCTTTTGACATGGAATTCGAAATGACGTGAATCACACAAAGAGGAACTCAAAACTTCGTTATTGTTGTTGTTGTCGTTGGTCTTTCGTGGACATCATTGGCATGGGCCAAATTTGCCTCGTCCTCATTCTCTTGATTGCCAAGCTAGCTAGCTCTCTGCTCAGCCATAGGCCATTAGGCATCAGGCATTCGGCCAAGAATCGGGAATCGGGAATCGGGCATTGGGCATGCCAAATGCTCATGTCTCTTTGGCTGGCTTTTGTGATCGAAATTATTTACCGTTGATATGGTTATGGCTAAAGCAGCGTACAGCTTGCTCCGATATCAAGAAGCGCACAGACGAGTAATCTGCTTAAGATATTATACCCTAGCATAAGCATATAACAACTTTGTCACGATTCGTGTAACGCATGAGTGGGCGCATTTCACAATTTCTGCAGCACACTTCATACATATTATATACTCATCTATGGCATATATATAGGAAAATATTCATATTTATAAATCACATTAATCTGTTTGACTGATTGGATTTTAATGGTCTATCGAAGACGTCGATGCTAGGATGCTTCAGCAAAAATGAAGTTTTTAAACAAAAAAATCTTTAATAATTAGGAAATATATTCATATATATTTTTAGAAAATCTTCAAGGGCATCAACTCCATTTTCTTTAAAGTGCTTTAAAATAATTCCCTTTTTTATCTATTTTATGAATCAATCGAATTGAATCATTTCAATATTCCTGGCAGACTTAAAAACAGTAAAAAAATGTGTTTATGAGTCAAATATAAATTTCAATTTCAAATATAAATTTCCCATTTTTTTACAATAATGAAATTCTTGAACTATTCAAATATTGATTTTTAAAAAGTTCTTATTTATAATATACATCAAATATATTTGGGGCCAAGCTGATTTAATATTAAGCTTACTTGCTTATGAAGAAGTACTTGACACAACACCAAATACATAATTACGAACACTCAGCGGGTTACTTCACCAAACTGAAGTATTAATCTCGTAATTTATATAGATAATACGGATTTGAAATATTGATATTCATATATATAATATGTATCTAGCCGAATGAACAAATGTCAGACTACAAATTGTTGGGCTTAATGCTTATACTGTAGTATATTTCATAGATAGAGTTTAAATCCAATTCCAAACAACTCCACAATTTGTTGTTCAAACCATGATAACATTAACATTAGCCTTTCGTAGGGTATATAAAGTTCATCTTGGGTAATAATTTCGTTAGTTACGCTTAGCATTTATTGCAAATGCTGATCGCGATTTCGCATATTTTAATAACTTATTGGAAAATTCGATGGGACTGCGAAGCATATGAATTTATGTATGAATAAACTGGAGGGCAATTTTGTGGGCTTGGCCATCACGACACGTGGTAAGTGATGCAGGCCAAGAGATGCAAATGCTGATGACCTTCGCATATCAAGGACAACAGCAGACAGCAGCAAAGGATGACTACAAACACACATACGTACCTACACAAATATGTTTTGTATGTAGATTTACTGCTGACATAGGTTCAAATCAAAAGCAAATGCCAAATGGGATTTGAGCATCGGATCAGCATCATGAGCTGAATGTCATTATAGAATATTTAATCCTTTGATTTGATGCGGAAAATCTACCTGTATAATATAGTTGATAAGCATACCCGTCGCCACTCTCTTCCACTCTCCGCTCTTCAATAGGCAACATACCATGACCATGACCATGTCATCATCATCAGAGCTCAAGTTGACGCTAAAGTGGATTGCGAGTCGCTTTATACAGGAGCAATGCACGCACCTGAGATACAGATTCAAATATTTATTTACACTTGTGTGCGTGCATGTGCGTGTGTATGGGTATGGGTAGAGGCAAAAATAAACCGAAGCAACGACGCGCTGTTGCGCGTCTGCGCGTGTTGCCAAAGTCCGTTTGCAAAGTCGAGGATTTTCTACCAAAAGGCGAATTAAATTCCTCAATCTTGTGCCAAGTTTATTTTTAGACCAAACAGCGCAGAGCCCCGAACAAGTCGCTGCGAAAACTAGCAATGAAATAAAGCTAAGAAAAGGGATACAACGACAACAACAACAACAGCCCAGAAAACGAAGAAGAAGAAGAGCAGCAACAGAGACGAAGACGAAGCTGAAAAGAAGCAGCAGCAGCAAAAGACGAACCAACAAAGTAAGCACACAAATGGTGAAGATCAGAAGATCAACTAGCAGCAGCAGCAGCAACAGCAGCAGAAGCAGCGACAGCAGCAGCAGCAGCACTAAAATAAGCAAGGGAGCAACAGCAACATGTATAGATGGATATGGATGAATGCTGTTAAGACGAAGGCCATCCAAATAGTTGCCTTTAGACGCCAAAGTTCTTGATCCAGCAGCAGAGCTGTGTCGTTACGTTCAATTAAACAGGTCGTTCAAATGAACAGTTCAAACATTCATTAGCACCAGTTCAATGAGAACTCCAAATGAACTGCTGCCCAACGCTGAACTAGTGCGACTCAAATATGAATCATGGAACTTATTCATCATATTGAACTAGAATGTTCAACACTAAATCCCGATAGCGAGAAGACGCGACGCGGCGGTCACATTAAACTGAATGCGTCGACAGGCCTACGCTGCAGCAGCGGCAGCGACAGCGACAGCGGCAGCAACAGCGACGTTACCGTCAGCGTCGGCGTCGCCCCGGCGGCAAAATCAGCTTCGAGAACAACAACAACAACAATAACGTCAATAAACGTTACACGTAGGGCGGCCCAAAATCTTGGTGCGTTCCTCGATAGAATTTTTGATTGCACTACGCACGCACAGACTCGGCCACAACCTCAGCCAACATTTTGCTGCTGCTGCTGCTGCTGGGCAGCAGTCAACAACCGCCCAGATTGAAGCTGAGACATAGGCTCAGCCCTACTTACTACTAGACCCATTGCCATTGCCATTGCCAATGCCAATGCCAATGGCAATGTGGCAATGTGAGGCGTTCGCAGGAAGCGTCTTTGGGCCTGGCCAACTGGGAAAATGAACGCATTCCATTTCCCATGACTCTTAATCACCTGGCCATTATTATATTTACTCGAACTGCGCGACTCGTATATAATTATACCCCACACCCACCTATCCAACTAACCAACTATTTAACCATCCATGTGTCGAATTGGATTAACCATCGATTACGACGCTGCACGTTAAAAAGACACACAGGGGGATGCCACAAGATACTAGAGATGCTGCAGCATCACTCACTAAACGAAATTATATATATAGAATATACGTAATATCCTTAGTTATCTGATTGGAAATAGCCAATTAGAGTTTAAACGTTTTGTACATAAATAGAGAAATTAAAAAAAATTTCTATTGATATAATTAACATAGAAACTTACAAAGTTAATAAATAAACAATATAAATGATTGATTTTGAATATTTTAAAGCACTAAAAATAAATTTATAAAATTCTAGTTTATTTATAATAATTGATTTTTTTCCAAAAATTATTTTTTTAACAATAAAATTAAAGCAGTACAAATGTTTTTTATTTAATTTTTCTTTTTTAATTCGAATTTATATTTACTTAATAATTTTACTTTAATTCGATCTTAAATAATAATAATATAATAATAATAATAATAATAATAATAATAATTTATTATAATATGAGCTCAAAATATTATAATAAATTAATAGTGCTCCCCAATTTTCCACAGTTTTAACAATATCTACAAATTTTTAAAATTAGTTTCTAATATTTTACAAAAATGTTGAATATTGATCTAAAGGGAAAATTATTTGATTTGGAAGACTCTAATTTTAGCAGATGAATAAATAACAAATCGTAAAGCTACAAGCTTTTTAGTTAACTTCTTTCAGAAAAGTCTAGCAAAAAGAGCTGAGATTTTAAATACCAACTATAATATTCCTTGCCAGATAGATTGCCATACATATACACGAGTAAATATAGATGCACATAAACCACTATACATGTTCGAACTCATATTGCGGATCTTTCGGTTGGCTTTTGACTTGATGGTATATTTGATGGGAGCACCCGCAGAATTATTGTCAAAATGCAAAAGAGAAGATCATTATTACATTTCACGCTTCCAGGCAGGGATCGTAAAACCGAAACCACAAACCAGTCGAAACGTCAGCGTCGCAGTCGACGTTTGCCGACGACGGCAACTGCGATAGCGTACCAAATTAATGGAACCACCGCGCAGGGCTGGAGCTGGATGAGCAAAGGGGCGGCGGTGTTCACGACGCAGTTGTGGCACGGGACGGCAACGGGAACGGGAATGGGAACGGGAACGTGAACGGGAACGGGGCCCTGACACAAGCCCAGGTAAGAAGTGGGACCAGCAGAACCTAAAACCAAAGCCGCGTTGTGGGAGAAAGAATAAAACTAACAATGAACAGCGGACTGCGGACTGCGACTCCCATTGGAATGATGGCAGCAGCGTGCAATCCAGGCACGTTTGCATATGTGTGTATGTGTGTATATGTGTATGTGTGCAAGTGGAAGTGTATAAAAGTGTGTGTGTGTGTGTTTGGTATTTCGGTTTTGGCCCGCTTGTCTGTACCTTTGCACCGACGCCACCGTCGCGGCTTTATTGCGCTCTTTGTCTACCATTCTGTTCGGTTCTGTTCAGTTCTGTTCGACTAAGAGCAAGAAGTCATCAAGTCCCAGTGCCGCACGATCGCAAGCACGCACGCACACAAGCAAACACACGCACACACACATACACACACACATATTGCACACGACTACGAAATGCGCAAATAGTTGTTCGGCTTTTGGGAATGGGTACGGGTTCGGGCTTGGATTTGGGTTCGGGTTCGGTTTCGGATTTGGTTTCGGGCTAGTTCTTGTATTTTCTTTTCTACTGCCATCGTCACACGTACATATTTACGTTAGTATTTGTATTCTTCGCTGCTTTCGTTGAGAATTCATTCATGTTCATACGCATACACATACATACATGTGTGTATATATATATATGTGGAGAGAGATGCTTACATACATACATATAAATATATGAATCGGCCTTTTGGGCCTGACCGCCAATTTCCTTTTTAAGCTAACAATCTGGCCCTCTTCACGACATTTACCATTGTGTACTTGGCCAAGCAACAACCGATCCGTAAAGAGCTCACAGCGACCCCAAGCAGAAGCCACGAAAAGTCCTCAGATTCTATTTGTGTGTTCATTTGGTGCAAGGATTTAAGACGCGTCACTGTGTGTGTGTGCGTGTCATTTAGTACTTTGTGCCTGTGCCTGTGCCTGTGTCTGTGTGTATGTGTTGAGTGCGAGTCATCGCCATCGTCCATCGACTCAATTCGTAACGTGCTGCGCGCATTGGAATAGGAAGTTCACATCGCAACTGGAAACTGGAAATTGGAAATTGGAAGTGTTGGCGTTCTGGAATCAGGCAGTCGTAGCAGCAGAAGAAGTCGCAGTCGCAGCAGCAGCGAGTTTCTTCTTCGGCTCTTGACGGTTCGCGGTTGCGTGATATAGCCTGGCTATCAGTTAGTTCAGTCGAAGGCTTACAGTGAACGCGACGCAAAGTGCCAACGGTTCTTCGATCTCTCAACAGCATCTACGCGTTCTCGTTACTCAAATTCCCTTGTGCACAAGAGATCCTCGAGAGTTATTAACCTCTTGAACTAAATCATGGCCAAAATCATTTTGTTTTGTGTGCTCAGCCTCTTGGCATGCGCTGCAGGTTAGTAATAAAATAAATCAAAAATACAAACAAATTAATATTAAATATTTCAAATATTCTGTTAAAATTCAAAATTAATGTATATATCAAATATATTTTTAACATATAGTATTTTTTAATCTTTTTGAAAACTTGAGCTATATTTGAAAGATAAGTAAAATTTAGTTAAATGTAGATTTTTAATGTTGAAATAGGTTTTTACTAGAGATCTACAAATTAATTACTATCTGATCGAAAATGATTTAGAATTTTAATATATTTTTAATATAATATCTCCATATTTATGCAGATATTTTTCCAATTTGTCAAAACACTTCGAAAACTGAGCTAAGCATTGCCTTCAAAAACTGTAGTGAATGCTTCTTGAATTTTTATAAATTAAAAACGTATTAACTAAAGTACAATTCTTACTGTAAAATAATAGAGCACTCCCATCATTATTTCAAAGTCATTAAATATGAATTTTCTTCAAGCCGATTAAGAGTAGAAATGCTTTTTCTATAGCTCTAAGCTATTTAGTTTTTATTTTTTTTATAAATTTCGTTCCTAACCCGACCCGATCTTGAGATCGTGCATAATAATCATTTGGCTGCTAACCGGAGGGAAGTTAGGTGCCAACAAATAACTAGGCAGGAGGCCATCATTTGATTGCATTTGCGCCGCGAGGCTCGTGAATCGAGATTCGCGATTCGCGATCTGTGATCTGAGATCCGCGTTCACCAAAGCTGACTTTGAGTGCATCATTAGAGACGTGCTAGATTCGTGGGGAAACGCTATAGACTGAATATGGGGGCCAGGCAGAGAGCCTAGCTAGGCAATTACCTTGAATTATAGTGCTCCAACTAAGTTTGGAGCTGAGAAACTGGGCGAACTGCAGTTCAATTATTGGGTTACCCGATGGGCTGCTCATGCAGAAGTCCAGGCCAAATTAGCGGCAATTCAAAATGGGTTCGCAACTGCTTTTCCTCTACGCCAAATGATAAAAAATGAGAAAAAAAAGAGAGAGAGAGAGAGAGAGAAAGACAGTTAAGTAGATGCCATTCTAGTTAGATATCCCAATAATTTGAAAGACCTTATTTTAAGACAGACATTCATAATCGAAGATATATTTGATAACAATAATATATTATACTGAAAAGGTTATAAGACTCTAATCTTTACTAGTAACAAATAGAGGGACTTCAAGAAATGTAGGAAAACATTAAAATGTAAATGAAAATAGAAAAGTTTAATGAATTATTAAACAAATAACAAAATGTTTTATAAATAAGATTTTGAAATACAGAAAATATGAAATAAATGACTTAAGGCAGAGTTCAAGTCCTACTTAGTAATCAAAATATATTGAAATGATATTTTACAACATATCGATTTACCGATTACAATACTACAATAATAATATAAAAAAAATAAATATTAATTTTTAATGATATTCAAACTATTGAATAGATTTGGAATAAGCCAAAAATTCTGTATATAAATTTAAATATATTTATGTATTGAGCAATATATATTCATAAATGTAATTAAGATTATCTGGGATCGCTTCAGTGCAATCGCATAATGAAATTCATTGTTGATATATTAATTATATTGATGGTTTATTATATTTTGAGCACAGAGTCTTTATTCATTCACTTCAGTATAGGAAAAGATCCTAACCGAGATAGAGAGAATATATGCATTGGCACTCCGCCTGGCTGTCCGCCTGTCTGTCTGTCTGTCTGTCTGTTTATCTGTTTGCCTGTCAGTGCTACGTTTACTTTGACTCCGATGTGTTTGTGTCTTGCATTTAAAATTGCCGGAAATAATTTCATATACAAGCATAAGCGAGGCAAACATTGGAACCCTCACATAGGGTCTATAGGGTAGTACCCATATAGCTCTCCGTTGCCTAGCCATCACAAGTTCCATAAATAGGCTCTTCCGTTTGGCTAGAGTCAACGAATCAGCATTGAAAATGAAAATATCTATAGCTATAGCTGTTTGTACAACCAATACAAATACACACATACTTAGGTTGTTGTTGTTGTTTAGCATGGTCATGAGGTATTCGACCATTCAAGCCAGCTACCTGTTAGCTCATGTCCAAGCAAAGTCAACTCATTGTCATCTTTGAGAGTTCCAGACGATTATATAAGAAGAAAAAGAGGAAGAAGAGGAGGTAAATAGAAACCCCAAAAGCTGAAAGATACTTTATTATTATTCTGGATACCTTCTACCCAACATTCTTCTTGGCATTGGGCTAATTAATGTCATCATCGCTATTATTTTTCATCAGATTTTATGTAATTAGCTTAAGTAGCTGTATCTGTATCTGTATCTGTATCCGTAACTGTACCTGTACCTGTGTGTATGTGTACATGCAGCGGGTCATAGACCGATAAATGCTTCTGTTCATCATCATCATTACCATTGCCATGAATCATCAAGCACTTGACTCTAACTCGGTTCTCCCTTTGTCCAAGTCGCAGCCCAAGTCCAAGACCAAGTTGGACTTCTGCTTTTTATAGAAGTGTGTGTTTGTCATTCGGATTGCTCGTTTTGGTAATCCTATTTAATGATATTTACTTTGGATACGATTACGATTTCGATTCCCATTGCCGTTACGGTTACGCATTGCGATTGTTCAGTATTCAGAGCGGATTGTCTCACAGGTTCATTGACCGGAAGTTTTTCGAATTGAATTTGATTTGATTTCTGTGGTCTTTTTATTCTTTTTGATTAGGTCAACGCATTACGACTATACATTTGGATGGTGTGCAGTATTTTATCAGTCGTATGAATCCGTATTCACCGGAGCTAAACTATTTCTTGGCCTATCAGTACTGCCGATCACTGGGCCTGCAGCTGGCCTCGTTTGAGACCAAGGAGAAGGCCGAGTCGATGACCACATATCTGAAGAATGCCGGCTATGGCAATTATGATTTCTGGACCTCCGGAAATCGTTTGGGCACGGGCATGTTCCTATGGATGAGCACCGGACTACCGTTCAATGCAACATTCGATTTCTTTGAGAATTCGGCCGATGCCATCCAAGCGGGCCTGCTCGATCCCGTCGATCACAATAGCAACACCTCGCCACAGCGCACGGCACGCGACAGGTAAGACATGATTCGATTATTGGGAAGTTCAATTGCTGCGGAGGAAGCACAGATTTGACTTGAGGCTACCTTAACTTCTCTTTGTCTATATAGCAGCAGTGGTGCCGAGAAGGGCTGCGTCATACTGAAGCAGCCGACGCTGAAATGGATGCCCGAGGACTGCTCTGCCGTTAAGGATTTCATTTGCGAACAGACTCGCTGCTATTACTACAACTATGGCAGCATTCCAGTATCGTCTGCGCAGGGGTAAGGACTACTAAAGAGAGAGAGAGAGAGAGAGAGAGAGAGAGAAAGAAAGAAAGAGAAAGAGAGAGAGAGCAACGATATAAAAAGCAAACAAAAAGAAAATATATAAATCATCAATCATAAAAGAAATATAACTTAATAACTACGTCTACTATTCCCTCCTCTAAGTATAATAAATCGAGCTACACGAATGCTTAAGTTGCACTTTAAGCGTATATTCTTAATTAAGTATATAAACACCCAACCCAACCCAACCCGAAATAAATATTTATATAACACATAACGCAATGATACGTGATTAATAAAAAGTTAATTTAGTTGACCACAAAACGAAACAAAAAAAAAACAAAAGAAATCAAAAAGAAAAACAGAAACAGAGACTCATATACACACACAATGGAACGCTGCCAAGCGTTCAGTTCAAAAAGTAATACAATACTTAATCAAATAGGTGAGCTAAACCCCAAATCGTTAAACTTTACAATTATTACACACATATGCCGTACACATATGCTGATCCTGAATCTAGTTCAGGCTCTGCATATTTGTATCTATGTTATATATCTAATACAGAAGACTAATGCGCAGCTACCAGCCTATTTACTACTAACTTAAAGAACACTACAAATTTATCATAAATATATTTATTTACAACAATTCGAGGCTTAAAACAAATATGATACCAAAACAAAAAGCAAACCAATTTGTGCAAGCAGCGGGAAAAACAATGAAGATTTAATTTTTTTAATTAAAAAAAAATTTATTAAAACTTAATATATATTTAAAAAACAAATCTTGATAGGAACTAACTACATTTGAAAGAAAATATATTAAATCAATTAAACATTATTTGTAATTAAATTCTTTTCGTCAAATTTATTGTCCAAAATATATTTAGATTATTTCAAGAATTGCACTTAAAATTAATTGATAAAAAGATTTAAAAATAATTACAATACTGAATTCAGTGGGAGAAATAAAACGAAAATCGAATTTATAAGGTAAAATGAATAACAAAATAGAGAAAATTAAAAAAAAATGTTAATAATAGTAATGAATAACAATAATATATAGGAAACAGAAAATTAGAATAAAAATTCGAAACCAGTTAAAACATTTAAATAAAGCTGAAACTAATGAAATATGATTAGGCTTTAAGATTAAAAGAGCTACAAAATAATTAGGAATTAATTATAAAAAAAATAGTTCAAATGAAATATTTAAAATTAAAATTGATTATGAAGAACGTAAAGCATTAAAAACAATACAATACAATACAAGCAATACAGAATAATTTAATAATACATTAAATTACTAGGCTGAAGCGTAAAGACCTAAAAACAAAAGTAAATTTTAAAGTAGAATTTCATAATTTTTTCTAGAGGTTTGCACAAATTGGGGCCATTTGAGCGTCACTTTCGAGACTCCTATTGAAATTTGGTGGTTTGGGGCTTAGCTTTTCCCATAGAATGTTGTTGTTGTTGTTGTCGTTGTTGCTGTTGTCACTAAGATTTGTGCTCAACTAACTAACTTTAGCTTCCGACTCGCACTTTCGCACTAACCCAAATGCCAAGCTCGCTGCAAGTCAATCGACCTATGTAACACACTGATGCATATGTATATGGCATATTTTCATAATACATACATGTACATATGCTTTTCTCATACATATATACATATTCATATACATATATATATATATATATATATATATATATATATATATATTGGTTCCATGTATGTAATCTTGCTTTACTTTGCTCCGCCTGCTGCAGACGTCCCATTACTTCAACCACACCACGCACACCTGCCGATCTGCTGAATCTACCATCGACCACGCCGCTGCCTCTCATCATGTCCACCAGCGTCGGCGGCGGTCTCTTTGCCAAGCCCAAGTCATCCATGTCGATGTCGGATTCAGCGCAGCAGCCCTCAACTGTGTGGTTCAAGCTCAATCACGATCGCTCGCTGGTTGATTCGGATGCCACTGATGTGGACGCAGACCTCGAGGCTGATGTGGAGGAGCACGACGATGCTGATGGCGAGACTGATTTCGATGAACATGAGCATGAAACTGGCGATGCCTCCAACGAGCATGCACGTGAACTAGGCGATGCCGACGGCGATGTTAAGGAGCACGTTTTTCCGCTGAACGACAACGAGCTGCACAACGAAATGCATTCGATCGAGGAGCTGCAGCTGCAGCTGCAAGCTCAGGCCAACGAGGAGCAGCCAGAGCATGAAGAGGATGCACCAGAAGCGGACGAGAATGCCAGCGCAGATCACGAGGCGGAAGCCGAGGCTGAGTCAGAGTCTGAGCCTGAGACGGACTCGCACTACGAGTCGTCAGCCAGGGTCAGCGATGCACCAGCAGCTGCATTGCCCAGTTCCACAGAGTCGCCGGCCATCGAGGTGCGTCTGAAGCAGATAGCACAGGATTTCGAGAAGATGACCAGTTCCCAGGAGCTACAACGCGCGGCTGCTGCAGGCGTCAGCAAGGATGAGATGACGCCACAATCCTCGCTCTCACTCAGCGATCTCATCCGCACGCTGCGTCCCAACGAACAGCAAATCATACCACAAATCGACTCCGATTACTCCAATGCAATGCGTGTGCTGGGCAAAACCTCCGCCGTGGTTGGCAACGAGGATTCGCGCAAGTTCAAGGTGTTGCCCGAATCGCACAACTTCTAGCTGACCTAAGGCATAAGTGCGAAGTGTGAACATCAGTTTATGGGGCACTGTCGCGGGTTCCACTGAGGAATGTTCATTATAGATGCCCAATGACGCTTCTCTCTGCGGACCCACAACAGCTAACACATACTCTCTCTCTGTAGAAATTAATTAATCACAATTTGTCCAATCCGAGCTGAGAGTCTGCCACACTTCTTATATACTACTTACTATATAATAATGTATGCTTTAATTGTATGACAAAAAAAAAAACAAAAACTCTTGATTAATAAAACGAATTTGGTAAATGTAAAAACGAAGGCTTTTAATTGACTCCATTAGGTGTTAATGAGGTGAAGTTAATAACTCGCACAGCCAATAAACATAAATTACTTGAGCAAAGTTAGGCGATGAATCAGAGAAGCTGTGCAAAAAAGTGCAAATCATTTTTCTTAATTTAAAGAGGATTAAAAGCGTAAAGATAGAAAATGAAGCTGAAGCCGAAGGTGAACAAATCGCGTTGGACTGTTGGCCCGTTGAAGGTGGACAGAAGACATTAAGCAGAAGGAGAAGATGTCTGCCAAAGGAACTTCGTCTGCAGTTTAGCTCTAAAACCAACTTCAACTGCTGCTCAAACACAGACTCGAGTTCGTTTGAGCTGACTGATGCGAAAGGCAGTTTTACACCTGCCCATATACACATAAACATATACACATCTAAATATATATATAGATGCATTTGTGTGCAGACTTGTGGTTCGTCAAATAACCTTGAAAAGTTTTGCTGGGTCCAACGAACGTATATTTAAAAAAAGAAGAAGTTTCTCTTTTGCTGAAACGGCAATCTCAGACACACAAAAAGGTAAACATTCCTCACGTACATCTTTGAACAGCAACAGCAACAACAATAACAGTAACAGGTAACAGGGATAATTGAGTGCGGAACTTAAGAATCGCGTTTCTGCTCTTCAGTTTTTATGGCCTGCACCCAAATGCTAAAGAAAAACATTTCCAAATATATAAAAACGGTATTATAAAGTTCTTGTCGTTAATGCAACGAAGTTCCAATTTATTTTCAGTTCGAGTTTGAGTTTGGTTTGGGTTTTGTGTCTTAAAATGCTTTTATTGTTTAGTCATTGAGAGTTTTGGTTAGGAGAATTCATCTTTTATGCTTCTGTTCATCTGTAGGTTGTAAGCGAAACAATAGAGCAAATAAAGTTTGCTTATATAGAATACTTTTATGAAAATCCTTATCTTATAAAAGCAGCTCTACACTAGATATTAGGTGTGACTCTCAATCACACATGCTGGGGGACACATGGATATTTCTGGCAGCTATAAATACGAACCTTTAGCTATGAAAATATTTAATATGTTTTTATTATACAACTTTATTCGACTGTTTTACATTTCTTATGTGGTACAACAGGGTATGAAAAAGCAGTTGCTAGGCATGTCGATCGTTGCATACTAAGAGAATTATTAACAGCAAGAAAACAGCAACGTGTATAATGTTAGCTATATAATCATAATCTGTAGAGTTTCTTGGGATCATTTCGGTTCTGGTTGCCGATTTCCTGTCTTCGGCCTCTTTCATATCCATAGAATCAACTCGCGATCTCTTTGATGCCAATATGCCCATAATATCGGCTTGTTGCGGAATCGATTTGTCCAACAATATGGGTTTACCACTGAAATTTATTAGATTCCCATAATCGTCAAACTACAAATGTGAATATATATTTCATAAAAATATATTAGATTGTGAATAGTGTAAAACTCAATGAAAGAATCAAATCGAATGGTTTATTCTAAGATTCATATAATATTTGTTTGTCTGTGATTAATACTACTACTCAGTAAAAAATACTACTAACGACTAGCTTTAAGAGGCTAATCTGTCCTAGCATACGTCTTATGATTTGCAATTTACCCATTACAATAACAGTCAATAAACATTTTTAATTTCCATTTAAGTCGATTAATATCGTTCTACTACTCTAAAGTTATTTAAATATGTCTCGGACGTTTGAAGTATTTGCTTATAGGACATCTTCAAGTATACAAAATTATAGAGTATGTTCCCAACACTTAATTTAGAGCTGCTCTGTAAGTCTTACTACGAAATCTTACCACTAAATTGATTACACCCATATATTTGGTAAACGCATAAGCTTGGAGAACTGGCACTTGATGACCATTTGGCTTGGTCACAATTGTGGGGTAGTTACCCTCTGGTTTCTCTATATCCGGTGGGCTGCCCGTGTATAGAAAAGTATGCGAATGGCCACCGATGACAACATCAACATCAGTGCAGCGCAATGCGATTATCTTATCCATTTCAAAGCCGGAATGGCCAAGAGCAATTATTATATTAACGCCTTGACTGCGTAGCTTCCTCGCCTCGATGCTGGCAGGATGTGTAGGATTATTAGATATTTAGTTCAATTAACAGATTATATATTTTTGCCATACTTTATGGAGGGTATCTCAGCGAAGTAGCCAATGGAATTGTAAGGCACGTAATATTTTGTATTTGGGGTTATATAACCAATAATGCCAATATTCTGTTTAAACTTCCTGATGATCGTTGAGCGAACCAAACTTCTAAAATTGTTCAGCTCTGGAGTCATACGCAAATTCAAATTACAGCAAACAATGGGAAAGTTTGCTCTCTTAAGGTAAGGTATAAATCCAGGCAGGTCCTCATCCAATTCGTGATTGCCAATCGACTTTATAGTATAATGGATCAATCATTGCAACGGGGCATACATATATCTGAGTTATAGATAATTCTTTGTCGATATTTAAGCTTACCACCGCATCGGGCTTTAGTAAATTCAAAAGCTCAGCTGCCAAATCTCCCCCAAAAACTCGATGCCAATTGGTGCCGGAGAAAGTATCGCCTGCATTAAGATAAATCGTTGAACCCTTGGCGCGGGCAGTAGTCACACTTAGTTAAGGTCAGTTATAAGTCAGTTCTTGGACTACCAAATTCCACATTATCTTACACTGTAGCTATCCTAGCGAATCCTCCAAAGCATAAGCCCCTCTCATCGTCACCTTGGGGACACTTCCCACAGCTGTTTGTAACTGGATCGTATCGGGCGTGCATATCATTGTTGTGTAGGAGTGTGAAACTAAAGCAATGGACATGTGTGGATAATAATGTCGACAGTATTACGATACACGGCACTGCTAAGCAATTCATGGAAGTAACTTAATATACGCGCTATTATTTTTTTGATATTAGATGTAAACATGATATTAGAGCTATTAATAAAATGTTGCTAAGTTTTCCAAATTTTAGAAAACACAATACAGTATGTTTGCAAGCGTATTTTAATATGAATGTATGTTTTAAGTTAAAGTCTATTCAGCTTGGTTATAAGCCTCCATTAAAGCTATGAGTGCTTATAGCCTTGCAGTAATTAGACAGACCAGAAATTTGTAATTGGGCTCGGCACTCGAACACACCAACCTCAGGTCGTTGTCGCAGCTATTGTTTGACAGCTAACTGTACAAATAATTGCTAAGTGCTAAGTTCAATGTATTGTTTACTAGCGGCTAAAATCATTTGAACCAGAAGCTGAAGCCCTTGAGTGAATACCAGAGCCGAATCCAATAACCCAGCTCCGAGTTGTGCTTAAGTGAGCTGCGGGCACCTTCAAGCAGCTTTTGATGCGTTGCTTTAGCGTCCCGAAGCTATATTCAAGGCAAAAACTTAGTTGATTCGAACCATACTGAATTAATTCTAAAATTCCGTACTTTTAAATAAATAATAATCATTATCCAAGACGAATTTTTAGGAGTTTGAATAGGCTACAACAATCGAATGCCTTACCTTATATATTGTTTCGGTTCTATACTATCTTGAAGACTGGCATCTCAGCTATTTAGTTGCTTTAATATATTTACATATTTTTCCGATTCTGATCAATATAAAAACATAAGCAAAATTTATAGTCACATAGTATATATTCTTCTTATCGATTGTTAAAAACACTAAATTGTGCAAAATGTGAAATGATTAAGAATTAGATCAAATTACTGCCAATAGTCAGGTACACATTGAGTAGAACTAATTAACGCTGCGATTTACGACAAGTGTAAATAGCATAAATGCGAAAGAACTCAAAAAACTTCTTGTAGAGCGAGTTCCCGACGATTTGCTCTCGCCGAAGCCTCTGAATTCGATGCGACCTTCGACATCGGGATAAACGGGATCCTGTTGATGCAGATATTGACGAACTGCTTCCACAAAAGTTTTCCTCATACGTGTGGTCACATTGATAGCTTGATCAATAAAAACGTATCCATCACCACCACCGAACAGAAATTGTGGCACAATCACGTTGTAGTGGGAGCTCTCATTCAGATTTCTGTAGGACGGCACTGGGCAGTCGGCGCATCGCACTTGCACAGATTCAACTCGATTACCCTCCGGCTTGTCTGGATTGTAGACCACATGTAAGCCGGAGACCTGAAGAAATGCTCCATCTGAATCCTTGAATCTTGATGCGGCTGAATGTTCCAAAGCATCCCTCAAGATCTTGCCACTAATTCGTGTGACATAGAGATCGTTTTCAAAGGGCAGCACGGTAAGCAGATCACTCTGGGTAATAACACCATCGGGCTTTCGTTCAATTGAACCACGTATACCTGAAAAAAAATGGTATACCCAAATTTCTTTTCAATCTACGACAAGTACTTACCGCCGGCTTGATGCAAGGCAATAGCTGCATCTGTCCAGTAATCGCCGCCCTGATCTTCCAATACTCTACTAAATATCATTGCATCGGTAATTAGATTTCCCATATTACACTCGACGGAACGACAATAGGCCCTACGGCCCTCCAGATACACCTTGGAATGCCCTACCACAGAATTTTCTAGTGCTGTAATATTCTCTCTGTACACGCTGAGCAGATCCAGCACGTCCTTCTCTTGCGGCACGCTAGCATCGAGTAGTATCGGCGAGCCATCAAATTCGATTAGATTTCCATCTTTATCGAACTGTTAATAAACCTCCTTTAGTATATAGTTTATTGGTTATCTGTTTTAGGTTCAACTTACCTTCACATGTAATTTGCCCAAGTACTTCGTGTAGGCGTAGGCCTGAAGGACAGGAACTTGTTTCCCACTCTTCTGTGTTATCATAGTCGGATAGGGACCGTCTATACTTTCGACACTTGGCTGTGGTCCATTGAACAAGAAAGTGTTCGTATGTCCGCCAATAACGATATCGACTTCGGGACAGTTCCTAGCTATTTCCTGATCCTTTTTATAGCCAGAGTGTCCCAAGGCAATAATAATTGTATACCCTTGAGCCTTAAGCTTAGCTGCCTCTGCGCTGAAAGTAATTATCATTATCATATATATCATTATTTAATTAGCTGACAATCAACCAAATCAGGCTACTCACTTGATAGAATCAATCTCTTCATAAAACTCAACATTGGTTTTTATTGACAGCAAACTCGTCTCTGGCGTGAGGTATCCAATCACAGCAACTTTTGTGCCATTTGCATCGAGTATAGTTGAATTGGCTAAATGCTTAGCTGCAGCCAATGCTGGTTCCCCTGTAAAGTTCAGATTGCTGGCCAACACTGGGAAACTGACGTCATTTAAAAATGGTATGAGACCCTCTGCCTTCTCGTCAAACTCGTGATTTCCCAAAGACTGAAATGAAAATATAATATATAAATAAATTATTTTACACACTTTAATAATGTTTTTTACTATGGCATCTGGTTTCAATTTGTTGAGAAAATCACTGGCGATTTTATGTTTAAAGACTGTAAACCACGCAGTTCCAGCATACGTATCACCGGCATTCAAATAAAATACTGGAGTTCCTCCATTCTTGGCCTCTGCACGATGTTTGCGAACTCTGTAACAAAGTACTATTATTTACCTGAGCGACAAATCTCTTTTATGCAATTTACTCATGGGCTACACGTGCAAAGCCACCGTAGCATTTATTGTTTTTGACATCCTCCGGAGGGCAGCTTTCACTGTTGACGTTCGTCTGCTCGAACCTCGCGTGCATATCATTATTGTGGAGTATTATAAACTCAGTTGATACCACGGGCTTCACTTCTATAGGATTTGCTTTTATGTGTTTGGCAAGTAACAAAAGAATTGCCAAAAGTTTCCATTGATCAGTCATTTTTAATCTGGATCCCAATAAAGTAAAAACGATAAGAATATGATATAAAAACAGACTAAAAAATATATTATAATGAATATCAACACTCTAACTCTCTTTCAGTGAGAACAGACAGACATTGCAATCTCTCGATATAATGAGAAAACAGGTCTCTAAGCTGTGCATTTCTCTCCTCTTATATATCTCTCGATAGATTGAAATCGCAATGGGCCTCTGACTTGTCACTCTATCTTTCACAGTCTTTCCTTCTCTCGTGTTCTCTATAAGTTATCAAAGATGTTTCAATAGTTTTGTTCTAGGTATACGGTTCACTCCCCTGTTTACGTTATTCAATGCATATATTTTTCATAAATTTTTCATGAGTTCGTGAGAAAAAAGCAATTAAAAAATAATAAGTTAGCTTTAGTTGACAATTTTATGGCTTTTGGAAAGATAAAATAGTGTATTTCATAGTATTTGATTTAAGCTTACTTATTAAAAAGTATTATTATCAAATTTGTTTATAAATTATATTAGGTCTTGCTATTAAATTAGTTCATGACTTTCAAAGGTTATCTTCACATTAATTTAAACTATCCTATAATTATATTTATGTACATTACACATCTTTATTATTTTAAAGGCTATTAAAAGTTACTTATCTTGTGTCGAAATAGTTGTGTCTTAATAGATCTATCTTTTATTTACAGACTCTGTAGACGACTTAATCAAAAATGATATTTGCTGATTATAAATGATTATTGTTGTTGAACAATGTAATGTTTATAGCTAATTGTCCACTGATAATTGGGATATATATGTTTGTATATGTCTCTCAATTTGCTACATTTATCTATTGAGTCAAGTTAATTGCTTCATATTACATAAAACATGGTATCTGAAGCCTGCTCGACAAGCCAAGCAAGACCTAAGCGATACTTTTTAATAAACAAGTTTTTGTTTTGAACAATATTATTTTTAGCCCAGTTAATTTGTTTATTTAACTAATTTATAAAACGTATTCAGCCTTTACCTATACGGCTTCCACTCTAGGGTGACGTTGTTATTTTGTGTAGATGTCAATGACACAAACATCGAAACTTCCCGCAGCTACTACGTAAAATATAGATATATATACAGATTTAAACATATCAATCATATTAAACCTTAGGAAACAAATAAACGTGGCATAAGTAATAGTGTTCCGTTTAAAGTGATCGGCTAGCAAAGACCTTCTGTTCCGTGACGAGCAGTAATTTATACCATAAATTCTCAATTTAAATGGGTTTTATGAAATTCAATCTGTATTAATCGAGTTGGTTAAAACTGTGCGTTTTAAAGTATAGTTGAATTTCACTAATAGATGAATAGTAACTATATAGTATTTGATGTTAAATGCAGATTGGGGGTTTTTAATTTTTTATATATAAATTTAAATATTTTTTTGTATTATAATGACGATAAATTAAAAATAATAATTTTCACTGTTGTTTAACACAATTACAACCTCATTTAAATCAGATGAATAATTCATTTAATTCATCAAAACATTAAAATAATTGTAAATAATAACTTAAAAATTTTAATTTTCATGCTTCACAATTGCCATGACATGGAAAACTCAGAACCGTTAACTCACTTACATGCAATTACTTTAAAAGCAACTGACTACTAAACGAAGGTATGGTATCTCTAAGATACGCTCAAAAAGTATGTGTATATACCCATACCAAAGAGCTGCTATAATAGCCAAATTGAAATCGATTATGAAAACTCTAAAGTGTAGGTTGCTTGGAAACAGGACCATAGCAAGCCAATCAACACTCGGACACATACCTTGCAAATGTAAACAAATGCTCCGTCACATTTGCGAAGATCACAAATGCAACTGGTTCGTGCTGCCAGCGATACAACTGTTGCCACCAACGTCCACAGTCGCACTGTCGTTCGAGCAGAATCAAACAGAGACACAGCAGTCTGCGCTCTTTGAGCTCGCAGCCGGTCTGGCACTTATAGAAATTTGTGACATATTTGCATTTCTAATTGCCAAGCAGAGCAACAATAGCGCAATATCTACGCAAAAGGCAGAGACCGGCGTGAGCTATGACCCCTGAAAGAAGAGAGATGGAAAGTGAGAGTGAGATTAAAAATTGAATATGCAATAATCAGTCGGAGTAAGCAAGATAATTTATGCTCTGTTTCAGTTGCCGTGCGATCGGCCGACCATTTGACGAAAATTGTAATGCACTTACATTTCTGCTTGCCAAGCGGGCCACGACAGCACACATCCACGTCAAAAAAAGAGCAGAGAACAATAAGAGAGCGTTCTGCACTGGCAAAGAAGGAAAGAGAGTAATGCAATGAGTGCGTGAGATTAAGAATGTAAAGTAAGAGTAAGTAAGAATGTAAAGTGAGGGAAAGTGTGACGGAGAGTGGGAATGGGAGCAAGGCAGGGAAAGGGAGTGTGAAAGGAAGCTGTAACATATCGGCGTGCTGACTGCCTTATCGCCTTATACAGACGCACATTATGTCTGTATTTGTACCTGCATCTCTTGTTGTATCTGTATCATTGGCGTTGGGGTAGTGTTGAAATTAAATTGAATAATGTTGCAATTCGCAAACGCATTGAATCGAAAATTGAAGTAAAGTGTCTGTGAAAAGGATTTAATTTTAGAGCACACATTCGCCAGACACACAAAAAACTGCAGCACATGTCTAGTTTATGCAGCGCATATCATGATAAACATACTCAATTTCTAGTTAAGGCATTTCAAGCAAGCAACGTGACAGCTGTTATGCGAATTACTTACAAATTAAAAATAATTCCTGACTATATTAAATTGATATTATAATCTAAAACTCTGATATAGAAATTATACCATATGGTTTATAAAGAAACATGTGGAATAGAATAACCTTAGTTCATTTCATTCTCAATTTAAATTTTATATACTTACGCAAAAATAACGATTAGAAATTGCAGAACTTTTGACGTGATAAGAAATTAAGTTATCTCACGATGAGATTGTGTTTATAAGTTATTATGACAATAAACTTCACGATGTGAACGCAATGTGTAAGCGTCTCGACACGCTATGCTCTAGTATTTACTCAAGCACAGAATGAATTAACGCATACTGCCACACGTGATGTTACAAATAGAAGAGAAACGTAGGATTTTCGATGACAAGATAAAGCATGATATATTGCTCTAGAGATCTATGAAGGCATTAAGATATTTATTGTACATTCATCATCTAATAAATTCAAACTTATGTAGTTTAACAAGTGGGACAGTGCTTCTTTTCAGATATATTTACAGTCAGTTACAAACTAGTTAAAGAATCGTGTGATCAAGGAAGACAATAGTATCAAGGTCACCGAGCCAATGATGCTACCAGCAGCATCCTTGGGTCCAATGATAACAATGCGTCCCTCGTTTTCGGGATAAACATAATGACGCGCCTCCAAGTAATCACCAAATGCAAATTGATCGTTTTTCTGCAACAGCTCATTATAGGGTTCATTTTCTTCAGTGAGAACATAGCCATCGCCGCCGTTCAGTAAAAACTCCGATACGATGATATTATAGTGGGCAGATATATTCAGATTACTGTAGCTAGGCACATTGCACTGGGCGCAACGCACTAAGGCGGAGACCACACGATGCCCATCCTCATTATCGTAGTTGTACTGCACTCGTAAGCCAGCAAACTGAAGAAAGCCTCCGTTCGAGTCCAGGTTTCGCAAATGCGCCGATCGCTCTAGGGCTGTGTGCAATGTTTTGCCAGTAATACGCGTCAAATAGAGTGCGTTCTCGAAGGGAAGCGTTGTCAGGATGTCGCTGCCAGTAATCGAACCAATTGAATTTTTCTCAATCGAAGCGCGAATTCCTACAAAACCAAAACTTCATATGTCTCATGACTATTCCATAATTGAATACTAGCAAACTTACCGCCTCCTTGGAGCAGAGCTATCGGCGCATCAGTCCAGTAGTCATCGCCCTTGTACTCTAGCACTCGAGCATGAACCATGGAGTCTGCAATCAGATTGCCTAGATTACACTCCCTTAGGCGGCATACATTTCCGCCCTCAAGGTTGACTTTGGTGTAGCCCACAATTTTATTTTCCAATCGTGTGATATTTGGACGATAGACTTCAAGCAATTCTAACAGTTCTGGATCCTGCGTAACTGATGCATTCAACAGAATTGGCGATCCGTCGAACTCAATTAAATTTCCCTCGGCATCGAACTAGCGGACGAGTGGAAATGTAATTAAATATCACCTATTTATGAGCTAAGGCTCAACTCACCTGCACATGGATCTTTCCCAAGTATTTCGTGTAAGCAAAAGCCTGAACCACAGGCACCTTTTTGCCGCTTTTCTGAACCACTGTGGTGGGATAGGGTCCTCGAACAGCTTCAGCATTGGTGTCGTCCTTGTCAGCAACAGGTTGATTAGCATCCAAAAAGGTGTGCGAATGACCACCAATGACTATATCAACGTCGGGGCACTCTTTGGCAATCTCCTGATCCTTCTGGTAACCAGAGTGACCCAAAGCAATGATAATCTTAATGCCTTCAGCCTTTAGCTTCTCTGCTTCAGCACTGGAAATAGATCCGTTTGTCTTGATTGATCATAATTATCATAAGATTCAATCATATTTACTTGATTGATACGATCTCCTCTGCATATTCCACATTGTTTTGGTATGAAAGGTTCTTGGTATCTGGAGTCAGATAGCCAATAACACCAATCTTAACTCCGTTGCTCTCCAGTATCGTGGAATTGGCCAGTTTCTTAGTGGCCGCCAAATCGGGCTCCTTCGACAAGTCCAAATTGCAAGCCAAGACGGGAAATTGCACAGCATTGAGGAACGGTATCAGACCTTTTACGTTCTTATCAAACTCATGATTTCCCAGCGACTATAAAATAAAAAACAAAATAATAAATTTAACAAATTAAATTTATAATCCAAATAGCACTTACAATGGCATCCGGCTGTAGCATGTTTAGAAAGGCGCTGGTAATATTGTCCTTAAAGACTGAGAACCAGGCTGTGCCGGTGTAGGTGTCACCTGCATTTAAATACAATACAGGTGTGCCGCCCTTCTTAGCCTCGTCTCGATATTTGCGAACTCTGAAAAAATTTGGTTTTCAAATCAATCATCAGCGCGTCGACTTGAGTCGCGTTACTCACTCGCTGGCAACACGTGCAAATCCGCCGTAACACTTATCCGTATTGGCATCCTCCTGAGTGCACGTGCCTCCGTTCTTGTTCGTCTGCTCAAATCTTGCGTGCATGTCATTATTGTGCAGTATAATGAGCTCTGTGGCTACGCTGGCCTTCGGTTCAATGGGATTGGCATAAGTGTGGCTCAACAGCAAAATACATGCCACAATAATCGACTGATAAGCCATACTCGACCTGAAGAGCTATATATATATATATAAGTATATAAGTTGTATGGTATCAAGTTTTCTTTGCAATTTGATCTGGGATTTTAATTGCAAATGTCAGCGAATTGTTAGCCTTATCAGTGCTTTGATAATTTCATCAAAATAATCAATATATTTATTATTATTAATATCTAACCGAAATTAAACGTCATATTGAATTGACGAACGATTTATAAAGGGCTTATCGAAAACAAAAAAAAAAAGAGAACAGAAATTATCAAAGCAAATCAATTTGTAGACTTATTAAAGCTTCTAAATCTAATCAGAGGGTATATCAAGCCAACACACATGAACAATTCGAATGAAATACGTGGAACGACGAAACACAAGTTTTCTTTCATCAAAATTGATTTATGACCTTTTTTTAAATACAAATGCTAATTAGTGTTACGTATAGCAAATAGTTAGGCATATAATATGAGCCAAGCATTATGGTTATGAATATTAATACATATAAGTACCTAATAATTAGCAGCTAATTCTGCGTGGGCTAAAAGACATGACTCTATGCTGGAGGCAAGATACTGCAAATGCTTCACTCGCTCACTCTCTCTCTCTCTCTCCCTCTCTTTCTCTCACTCACACAGTAATACAATTGACATTTGCACGATATCATCTGGCACAGGTAATTGCTCTTAAATTGCTTTTACAGATCACTCAAGCCCGTTGCTACTTACATGCTCTTCTCGCACAATCCGCCAACAAACTGGCCCGAAATCGTGTGGAACAGCGGCTATAACCGAAACACTTGAACTGCGGAGCGAACGATTACGATACGAACAGCGCGTGGTTGTGTGTTGTTTTGTTGTATTTTTTCCTGTTTGTTTTTTTTTTTTGTGTTTTGGCTCTGTTTCAGGTAGTGGCAATGATTTTGAATTGTATTTCGTTTTTGCTCATTAGATACGAGCACTACGACTCTAATAGTTATTGCTCTTTGTGATTATCTCTTGAATTTTGTTTGTTTTTTTTTTTTTTTGTTGCTTTTGACAAACAGATAGAGCGCTTATCACCTGCCGAATCTGTATACCAGCTAGTGTCAATTCCTTTAGGTAGCTGATAAAAAAGAATCGAGTTCACAATTTGCAGAATATTATAAATATATATATTACATAAATATATATTTATATAGTCATTGCATGTTTTATATAGAAAATACAGTTATTACACAAGTATAAAAGCTACATGTCACTTATCCAAACAGCTGCTTCAACAGAACGTGATGTTCCCACGCAAACATCAACAACAATCCAAATATACATTCATACTTTTTTCGTGTATTTGTTTTAGCTACTGTAACTTTAGCAAGCACTCAAATATTTATATATATATAGGCTATATATAAACACTCTCATAGCTCATATGTCAGTGTCAATATAAACGACCAAAAAAACGGCCTCTTTGTGAACTTGCAGAATTTGCCAATATTAAAAAAAAATAGAAACAAACAAACAGATCTTTAGAGCAGACATTACACAGACCAAACGAATTTAGTAACCAGGAATTTACTATAGTTTACCCAAGATTTTTGACTGCTATCTAACGAATATGTGGATTTATAACGTCCGTCTTTTATTTTGTTTTTTCTTTAAAATTAAAAGATATTGGTTTATCTACAACTAGCATGTCCACCCTTCAAAATCATTTTTAAAATTTTTCAAAAGTCGATATTTATCCCTGATATTAGCTAAGGAACTTATTGATCAGTTGCCATAGACCACCTCTCGCTCGCCTGACATATAAATATTTTTAAAAATTGTAAATGGAATATTAGAGGAAAGACCTAGTAAATATAGATACTTTCGCTCTTTCTAAAAAAAATAGAACATATTAAATAATAATACTCAGCACATAAAAACTTTTTAAAAATTATAGATATTATTATTTTTGCTTACTAAATTAAATTTTGTTGCCAAGTGTTATGATTGATTCCAAAAACTTCTTCAGCTATCAATATTTGATTCGTGATGTGGCGACAAAGCAATATGTTTGTTCTCTCAATTGTAAATCATCAGAAAATAAGCAACATGTCTCACATTATCATTCATATTTATAATATATAAAGTATGCTGGCATTGTACATATGTACGTCGTTAGGCCACATATATAGATTCTGACTTTGACACTTGCCACAAAATATTTATTAGTCTCTGTTCCAAATAAATAATTCTGTTCTTAAGATCTTAAAACGACTGACTACCGACGCCTGACGACTGATGACTGACAACTTACGCACAGTAATTTCCAAATACTCTTTGTTTAGAATGCTCTTATGCAGTCGAGTCGCGATAATTCGTTCCCTTCTAAGTCGAAACTCTCAATAATTCGTAAAACCTGCTGTTCCCTTGAAAAACCCATAAGCTCGTAAAAATGTCACGCAGTTAATCGTTAATTCGCAAACATTATTTTACCTCTTATAAATTATAATTTTCTTGCAATTCGAAATCCAAACGAAATTTGTTATCAGACAGTTAGTTAAGGCGCGCTTATGTCGCTCTACATGCTCAATTTTGTGGATCTCAATAGTTGCGATTTTTGGTTTCCAAGTGTTAAATTGATCTGTACCAATATCAAATAAACGCTTGGTTCTATACCTTATGAATCGCTTAAAACGGAACATAAATTCAGTCACTGATAATGGAACAAAAGGAATTGAAGTGGCGAAACAATTTGAAACAGCTCTATCAACATTCACACGATACGCGAGGAACAAGCTGAATAAATATGGAATATGTTATTATGAATATAAATATTATGAATATATTATGGATCAAGCTGCTTGTTAAATTTACTGAGAAGCACTTTCATGACTCTGTTTGGCAGGTCTCAGATGACTTCTCGATTACACGTACAATTTTAATTAAATTTCAATAGAGAATTTGGGGGAGACACTAAACTTACTTTCAGATAAATCAACACATTGAGGTCTTGAAACTACAGCAGCTCAAATGTACCCAAGCAAATAACTTTGGCAATTTTATTTGACTTTTTTTTTTTGTATTTTGGACCCACGGACAAATCTGGCTAAGCCAAGTCGACGTAGTTGGCCGTACTGATCATAAATATATAATATGAACATATTTAAGTGTATATTACCATTATATAATAATAAAGTATAAAGTAAATAATAATAAATCTTTACACAGAAAACATATACATATGAAAAACTAACTTTTAAAAGGCAAATGGTTTTAATTTAGCACAGATTTTTATTAAACACAGCTGAAAGTTTTCTATTTTCTTTAACTCCAAAGCAAAGTTTGACACTTCCGGGTGTATTTTAAGCAGTCACTAGTAAATTTGCCTGAAACTCACACGATTTTTTCCAAAATATGTATTTATTCGTGAATTTAAGATTATGCTGAAAGTCGATCGCGCTTAACCCCAACGTTCTCACTTGTTTGAGTTTGATCCAACATGGAAATGACAACATTAATATTAATAACTTTGTATCTTATCTTCATACAAGGCGTGTATTATTCGAAGAATCTCGATAGCCTATTTAATTTATAAAATACTCAACTCAACAATAATCATTGGGCAATCGAAAAGCTCATCTAATTCACTTCGGACACATCGAGCAAAAAGTGCTAAAATATTTAATTATCGCTTTATTCGTAATCAATCGAAGAAGTAAAAGTGCACAAGAATATATTTATTTATTTTGACATAATGAAAAATATATAATATACGAAAATATAATTATAATCTCAAATTAGCCATCAAATATATTCAATGAATTTGGTAAATATGCTCATAATTAGTTTATTAGAAGTGGAAATGAGTATTTGAATACTAAATATTTAAGGAAGTTAACGCGATTAATTTATGATTTTGTTATAACTATGCGACCCTCTACGCCAGTGTAAACTAAATTGTTTCCCTCTAGATACTGTTGTAGAGCACCTTTATCATCCTTCCCCAGTAGTTCAGTGAAAGGATTGTTCGCTTCAATGAGAGTAAATCCATCGCCGCCATTCATGAGAAACTCGGGCACCACAACGTTGTAGTAAGCCGATTCATTGAGTTTACTGTAGGAAGGAACTTTGCATTCGGCACAGAGCACTAAAACGGATGTTACTTGATGTCCCTCAGCCATATCGTAGTTGTACTCCACTCGCAGGCCAGATAGCTGCTGAAAGCCGCCGTTGGAGTCTTTGTTACGAACAGACGCTGAGTGCTCCAAGGCATTGAGCAGGGTCTTTCCGCTAAGGCGCGTTACAAACAGTCGATTCTCAAAGGGAATCGTTTCAGCCATGTCTCGAAAAGTTATAGCTCCATCAGCCTTCTTGTTGATAGAGGTGCGTATGCCTTAAACATGTAGGAATAATTAAATCGTGCATCTATCATTAGTTAATGTACGACATACCACCACCCGAAATCAAAGCAATAGCTGCATCAGTCCAATATTCGCCGCCCTTATTTTCCAGCATGCGAGAATACACCATTGAGTCTGCCACCAGATTACCCAGATTGCATTCTCTCAGTCGACACATATTGCCGCCCTCCAAAAGTACCCTGGTGTGGCCTATAACTTGCTCGCCTTTAGCCGTTATATTTGGACGAAACACGTCCAGTAAATCCAGCATATCCTGCTCCTGTGCAACTGAAGCATTCAAAAGAATTGGCGAGCCAGCAAATTGAACTAAGTTTCCATCCGCATCGAACTGCGATTGAAGAGCGGTTTTATTTATGTAATTCAAATAAAAGGTAAGGTAAGGTATTACCTGCACATGTAACTTGCCCAAATACTTCGAATTGGTGAATACCTGAACCACAGGTACTTTTTTGCCACTTGGCTGAACCACTGTGGTGGGATAGGGTCCTCGCACAGCCTCAGGATTGGTGTCGTCCTTGTCAGCGATGGGTTTATTGGCGTCCAAATAGGTGTGCGAATGGCCACCAATGACTATATCGACATCGGGACATTCTCTGGCAATCTCCTGATCCTTTTGATAACCAGAGTGGCCCAGAGCAATGATTATCTTAATTCCTTGATCCTTTAACTTTGTTGCCTCAGCACTGAAAATGAGTTAATGAAAATAACTAAAAGAAAAAACTTCTAAAAACTTACTTGATGGATGTGATTTCTTCACGAAACTCCACTTTGTTGATGTAGTCCTCCTTGGTTTTTGGTGTTAGATAACCAATAATGCCAATTTTAGTCCCATTGACCTCTAGAATTGTCGAGTTGCTCAATTTATTGGTGGCAACCAGTTCGGGTTCCTTTGAGTAGTCCAAGTTCGACACGACAACAGGAAAGTCAACAGCATTAAGAAACGAGACTAGGCCCTCGATATTGTCATCGAATTCATGATTTCCTAGGCACTAAGCAAGGCAATTGTTATCATAAAAAGATCGTTATTATAGTGACCCATCCTACCATCACATCCGGGTGAAGTTTGTTGAGAAAGGCGCTAGCGATTTGATTCTTGAAGACTGTGAACCAAACAGTTCCGCTGAAGGTGTCGCCTGCATTTAAGTATAGCACGGGAGTACCCCCATTATTGGCCTCCTCGCGATATTTTCGGACTCTGAATAAATTTATTGATATGTAAATATATAGATTTTGCAAAATGACTCAAACTTACTCATGTGCTACCCTTGCAAAGCCACCAAAGCATTTATTCATACTGGCATCATCCTGATTGCATACAGAACCATATTTATTCGTCTGCTCAAATCTTGCGTGCATATCATTATTGTGTAGTATAATAAATTCGGTAATTTGATTGGCTGAGCTTTTAATGGAATTAGCGCGAATCAATTGACCAAATATCATTAAAAATACTGGGATAAACATTAGCCTCATTTTTGCAACTGAAATTAAAAATCGAAATATTAAGCAGAATGTAATCTTCTATATAATTCTTTCTATATAATGCCTTAGTTCGCTGAAAAGCACGTCCAAAGCAGGAGAATGTGATTCGGCAAAAGGTAGTGTCTAACACTGTTAGGGCAATCAAGGTAATAGAACATTGTTACGACTTGTTTACAGGTGTTTTCTCTCGTTGATACAAATAAGGTTGTGGGTAATTTAAGCCCTTTTACGAGTATTGTTTAAGTTTACATCTCATTTACAACTAAACCAGTTCACAAATGATAAAAATTAGATAAGAAATTATTTCATGAGAAATTGCAATTTAATTAATTTAAATATGTATATAAAACCTGCCTGTTTTTTATTCAATAAGCCGTTTTATACGAGTTTATTATGTTTACTCAACAGATTATCACATTCAAAAATTGAGAGCGCTCTAATCGAAAATGAACAGCTAACACATACCCAGTTACAAGCTGTTCTCAATTAATATATATATTTGCCATTGGATGGGACAGGAAGAAGCATAATCCACATAATATAAATAACTATTTTTCATCTTTATAATTTTATATAATCCTGTTCAAGGTATACATATTTAATATATATAAATATATATACATATAAAGATATAATACATATATATATATACAAAATCACAATGCCCTGTCTCTCTCTCTCTCTCTCACATTTCCAAGATACAAAGTATAGCAAAAAACAAAATAATAATATCAGCTTTAGGTTTTTCGCGTTATCTCAGCTAAATAAAAGTACCTTATCAACTATATGTACGTCTAATCCAAGTTTAATGAGTATTTTAAGATATCCACACGAATTGTTGGAATTACATTTATTGAAAAAGCCCCTTGAAATTTAAATGGATCTGAAATCGAGCTGTTTAGATGCACTCGTCACACAATCTGTTAGCAAACTGAACTCAAATCGTTAAAAACAGCTTTTAAAATTAAAATCAGTTTTCACTCTCTCGCTAAACAGGTCCCCCGGCTATAGATTCTCTCTATTTGTTGCAAAGAGCACGATCTGATAATGTCAATTACTTAATATACGGAAACTTAAGTCTAATTCACAATATTTTAAGAACAATATAAGAATCTTTAAATTAAAATTTAAATAGGAAAACCATTTTTATTTAGATATTCCACATGATTTAAATAGTTTCATTGTAATCCACAAATATATATAATTAAAATTATTAAAAATATACTATAAGATATGGACTGACAACGAAGAACATCAGCCTTTGTTGCATAGTGTAATTAAATTAAAATATATAAAAAACATATATTCCTTTTCTCTCTGTAGTATACTATATGTATGTACCATCTCCCTATATTAGACTATCAAATCAATCATAAGTTTAAGAAGAAGCAATTCTAATAAAAAATATTTTTATTTTGACTGTATATGTTTTTGCCATTTTAATGTTGTTTGCTATAAAATACACTGAGAAAAATGTATATTATTTTATTTTATTTGAAACACTAATTTTTCTTAAATTATTATTTTTTAATTAAACTACAAAAGCTTAAAGCTGATCAATAGACTGCTTTAGAACAATAGACTTTCTAAATAAAAAAAATTAACAAATATATATATTTAATATTGTTACAAATTATTATTTTTATCAGCTTCATGAAATATAAAATGTTTAGTAATGCCTAAGAGTGGAATAACAGTTTAAATATTATGTGAAACTAGATTTTCAGTGTATTTATAGGGTGTGCACTTATCATTACAATGACAGGTCAAAGCGTAGTCTGTAGCCATCGAAATCGAATCGAAGAGATGGCTGTGAAGCGTGCCAGCTGCAAATGCTTGGCCCGGCTAGCAGCGACACTCAAATACGCTACACTATGCATCGCTGCTAGGGCGCAGGGGAAGCGAAAGCGAGGATAGCCGACACATAGGAACGGCCACGAGACAACGGAATAACTGGGCGAGGGTGAGCGGGACGAGGACAAGATAGCAGGCCGCTGCAGTTAGAGAGCAGATTGTCAGGGGTTGCTTTCGATTGCAGCGCACATATCCTGCCTATATCCTGTTGCCTTCCCGCTTCAGCTGCCGGCAGCGGCCGACAAATTTAAACAGCTGCAACAATTTTTCGGTTGCCTTTAATTTCCAGCCTGGGCACATCCCCTAATGCCCGTCTGTCTCTTATGGCTGGTTGGGGTTGCTTTCAGGATCGCGCTCCCTGCAACAGCTTGGCTGGGGTGCATTCGATGTTCGATGTTCAGTTGTTGTGATCGCCAGGTGAACGAAGGTTGTACCGCGGAGCAAAACCAACTACAGGATATATTCGGGACACGACCAAAACTGAAGAAGATTCTCCTATGTCCGGAAAATTGATTATGAAACGAAAACGTGCAGATCAGCTTAGATCGCAGCAAGCTGACCAGCAGCAACAGCAGGATGTGGACACTGAGTCAACTGGCGAAAAGCGCCATCGCTTAGAATTGGATTCCAGATCGAATACACCGCCAGTGGAGCAGTCCCATAGTCCAGCCATCCATGTTGGCGATGCGCCCAATAGCATTTTGCTGGAGGCACTGCAAAAGATCATGGAGCTGCAATCAGAGCTGGATTCATTTGAACAGGACTTGGATGAGCGGGAGGCTGATGCGTTTGATAGCGACGAGGAGGTGCAAGCGGATGCCGAGGTAGCAGCCATAGCTCCAGCTCAAGCCATAGTCCCAGATCGACGAAGTGAAGCCGAGGCATTGGGCTTTGCCATGTGTGCACGCGAAACGTTGCTCTTTCTGCAAAGCGAGGGTATCTCCACGGAATCAGTACTGTACAAGGCGCTGCTCGGAAAGCTAGTAAGCCAGAGCGATGGGCTATTACATGCTTAAACCAAATGAGCACTAACAAATCCCAATTTGGGACATTCTAGTCAATTTACTGCAATTATATTGTACGTAAAACGAAAATTGCAGGAGACGGAACTTCTAACACAATATATTGAGTTTCAATATATAATAAAAATTTTAGTTATAAGTCAATTTACTCTAGTCAGTTATTGTGCAGCAATATAAAAACTAATTTAAGATTATTGAATAAATTATAAAAAATAAACATACACTTTATATAAAAAATGATTTGTGGCTTCAGTTCGCTTTCAGTTGCGATTTAAAAATAATTGGATAATAATTAATATTTATCCGAACGGAACTCACTATGGATATTTATCTCTTATGGTGTGTGTCTTCGCTAAATGGTGGCATAGCCTGCAGCTTATAGCAGTGCAAGAAGTTCAAAAAATTGTCATTGGCAAAACACCAAAATATATTAAATATATTTTGATTTATTTGAAATAAATAAATACACAAAAAGATTTTCAGCATACATTTTAAATATTTTTATTATTATTTTCATTATTTAATTTTACATGAAATAATTAATGAGAATAACTCAATATTTGTTTCTCTTTATTGTTTAATTGTTTTAGGGCGGGGAAGTTTTTTGTTTAGTATTGAATATTATTGTTTGTATTGTAAATTGTATTTTAACTTGTTGCCATTCAATTTAAATATTATATTTATATATATATATACATATAAATATATATATAATTTAAGTTCAGTATTAAGGTTTTTGGGAACCGATTTTAAGTATGTTTTGTTTATTATTTGTATAATAATAACAATAATTACTTGAAATAAATGTATGTATCTTCTTCTTTATTACTGATATTGTTTTACAAACTAGATTTTAATTGTTTTTAACAATTTAACGTTCACATGGTTATAAGTAAATATTTTTCTTATTTATTTTCATTTTTTTGGACAAGATATTCAATTATCTGATTTTGTTATGAATACAGTTCACTAACAAAAGGTTAGAGTTTTTTTATGTTTTTATATATTTAATCATATATCAATTAGCTCAGCTTATAAGTCATACAAAATAATAATTAGAATAATAGAAAATCAAATTAAGGGGAATTCGTAAGTATTGATGAATTGCGTAGTTTGACTTCGTCGTTCAAACTGGAAGATTGTGTTTCAGACAACAATATTGCTCCATTGATTACATTTTGGCACAAACTGTCATTCATTCTCTAACTTTTTCCAAATCTATTTTAATTTTGGCATGTTCTATATATTTCTGATTGGGAAATATCTTTGCTTTTCATCACACAATTTTCAGGCAATTTGCAATAAATTAGTTTACTAGAGCTTACTAAAGTAGAAAATACAATTGGGAATTATGTTTTGAGCTTTTTCGACTTCGCGCACATCAAGTTATGTAAATTCAATGAGTATTATTTCTCTTTTAAATTAGTTTTTTTTTTTTTTGTTTCAATAAAGTAATCATTTGCAGCATTATCCACATATGGGCTTCGTCTCACAATTTCTGAATAATATAAATACGTATTGTATATTAAGTTATCGAGTATTTATACATATTAATATTTCATAAATATAATTTTAGCTTTACTGTTATTTTTATTTTGTCAATCGTTTGTTCTTTTAGTTTAGTTTAGTTCGAATGTAAATATTCAATTCTGTATTTGTATATATAGTTATATTTAATTTATTTTAAGTGTGCCCAGTTATATAGTTTTAAGTAATTAATCTCATAGATTTCCAGCCCTACTGCACTTTAATCACACATACATATATATAAATATATATTTGTATGCCCGATCTTCAGCGTAGAAATGTTAACAAGTAAAATAATGATAATAATGTAGGATTATTGTAATAATTCATTTGTAATAACCGTTAATTTATATAGATATTCGAATTGATTTGCTATTTTATAACTGAATTTAGCTTTCAGGAAATGCATTTTCTATTCTGAAGATCGAGCAGAATATACATGGATATACATATATGTACGTACGCATTCGAGAAACGTTTACATTTTGTTGTTTAAGCAGATTTATAATAAATATATGTATATATATTAGTATTATTTGTATTATATATGTAAGTCAAAGTATCATAGCCAGCTTTAAGCTGTGCTTATCTAATTATTTAACGGTTATATCTCTTGATAATTTGTTATTTATGCACGCACTTTTAATACGAATATCTTAAAGATGTTTTGCTCTTCGTGTAAATATAGATTAAAAAACCGGACAATATATCCTTGGCATAAATTGTCTGTCGTCCATCGTCCATCAGCCAACACAAGGTTAAAATATCAATTTGTAGATCCAGCTGTATTATCATCCAACGATTTCCTTGCACTCAAAAAAATATATATATGTATATATATATATATATTATTTATATATTAATTTGTTAATGTATATATTGTATATGTTTGTATTTAGTATATACACGTATGTATATATAAGTATGTATATATCTTAAGGTTTTCGTTTGTAAATATTCTTTCCATTTAGTGTACAAAGTATTTGTGATGTTGCTCTCGATTTGTTGCTGTTGATGTTTGTTGTTTTCGTTTTTGTTCTGTTATTGTTTAGTTGTATTTTGTTATTGTATCTGTTTAGTTTTGTATGTGGTTTAGAGAAACTGCACTGGCAAGAACGGAATCTCACGAATATGAAGCGAAGGAATGGAAGGGCTGTAAGAGAATGCAAGTATTAAGAGTATTTAGAGAAATGTCAATTGTGTTTGTATTGTGTGTTAAGTCAGCAGCGGCTATTTGCGAATGCAAATAAATAGTTTATCGTGGCAATAAATATTTCTATGTAATTAAGTATATATTCATATATATCTACATATATATATATATATATATATATATATATATATATATATGCACTGGATATGTATATTGCAACCAGCAGGCATTATTATGAACTCTGTCTACGTATTTACATATCAGATAGTGGCCGTGACATGCGTTTTGGTTGTGCAAGGAATAATGAAGGAATACTGTACTGGACTGAACATGGGATGGTTGTAATATCCATTTGATTAATTGTGCTCTAAACTGTTTTTTAGTTTGTTTTTTTTTTTATGTTTAATACCTTACTAATAGCATACTGGACGCAGTTAAAGTTGTGTTGTTTTGGGTATGTTGCATATTGTTCTTGTTTTTGCTGCCTAATGTGTGAATGTGGTTGCTGTTGTTGTTGTTTTGGCTGTTATTGTTGTTGTGGTTGTTGCTGTGGATGGTGCGTTTGCTGGCAACTGCAGCAGTCATTTGGCCATACATCGCATTCGCTTGGGAACATATTGGATCTGCCTTCATTTTCTTATCGTTCACATTGTTTTTGTAACTCCTATTCAAGTGATTGTTGTTGTTGTTGTAACTGTTGTGCGGTGGGTAATTTTGTTGTGAATGTTGTTGCTGTTGTTCATGTTGCACTGTCAACGATTGTTGTGGAGTATGTTGTTGTGTCTGTTGTTGCTGCTTCTGCTTCTGTATCATAAAATACTCATTATTATTATCAGAGTATATCAAGTCAAAGTTATTGCAATATGGGTCATCTCTTGTTGTTACCTGGAGGCAGCCGCTGTTGTTGTTATTTTTATTGTTGTGCTGCTTATGGTTGTTGGTGCACTCCATTTTTTCAAAGCTGCTGTTGCGTTTGTTGTTGTTGTGGTTGCTGTTGCTGTTGCTGCTGCTGCTGCTGGTAACGAATCGGGCTTTAATGGTCAGATTATGGGTTTTCGGTATAGGACTTGTCGCACTCCTTGTGCCTCTCACACCATCTCCATTGCTGGCATTTCTCGAACCCAGCAAATTTCACCTGTTAACGTGACTGCGGTTGTGATTCGAATTTATACCTGTTGCATTGTTTGGATTTGAAGGCGCCACAGAGCCGCTAGCTGCAAAGTATACAAAATGATTATATTACAATTTTCATCACATTGTACGATCACTGTTAATAACTAATTTGTTATGTAAGGCTGGCAAACTGAGGTTGTCCGCGTAGGCAATAATTCATTCAATTACTAGCTGGTAACGTACACATATTCGGACTCTCGTTGTTAGATTCTCAAACTACTTAAAAAACTTATAACTTTATAATAATTTATCCAGAGAACAAACTCAAAAGCAATAGTTAATTTGCAGTTGACTGATGAAAAGTGGAATTATAGCTTTCGAATAGCATAGTGCTGTCTTCTGTTACAATAGATCGTATTTCTCCCCTTTAATCTCATCTTATGTACCTGCATATCCGGGTGAATGCTGGTAGTAGTCTCGTCGAGAGTAATCCGTTTCATAATCTTGAGTCTCGTAGTGACCACCACGTGCTCCGCCACTTACGCCGCTGATGTTGCCAACACCACCCAAAATGTTGTTGGGCGGCCCGTGGGGCCCGTGACCGTGACCACCGTGCGATGCATAGCTGTAGGCGTCGTAGGACTGATGTGGATCATAGGAAATGCCGTCCTCATAGCCGCGTCTACAATTTACCCAGGCAAATCAGAATGGTAAGTAATTGGGGATTAAAATTATCAATTTCAAGCTCACCCATAAGTTTCATCCATTGCTGTTCTGGCTTTTTCAAGTATAGACATGACCTTCTGCTTGGGAGCTAAAACATTTTTGCTAAACGACGATTGCTGCGAGCTTCTGTATATTGAAATAAATTTCAATTAGGTTAAGCCCTTAACTGCATATCAACAACGTTTACCTGTAATTGTGATGAGATGAATTTTTGGCCATACCGACGCCACCTGCACCGCCACTACTGGAATTAACCGGACCCTGACCCCCCATGGCATTAGCACCAACGTTGGCGTTCTGCATGTGACCCATCTTTTTGTAGCTACTTTTAGAATTGGAGTCGTTATCATTTAGGCTAGTGCTGTCCATCAGCTCCCGCAGTTGCTCCTGCCGTATAATATCGTTGCTGTCCGGTATCAGATATTTGCGCAACTCAGCCATGGCATACGCGATGCGCGCATATGCCTCTGCGGGTGGCGCTATTGTTGATATCTCCACGTGCAGGTCGCTATTCAGGTGTGCATACTTGGGATCCTTAGAGCTGCGCAATTCCTCTTCCTTAGCACGATCTCTCATCGAATTGCGACCAAGCACCGTCATCTTGCACAGCGTTTCCTCCTGCAGGCGACGCAGCGAGTTACCCTTTGGACCGAGCAGCTTGCCCACAAAGTTGAACTATAATGACAGAAATTGAATTAGTTCGTGCTTGAAGCTGCCAAAGGTTCAATTCGCAACTATCTGACTAGACTTAAAATGTATTTAAAATATTTAAATACATTAAGCTATACTTGTTAGAAAAGTTGTGAAAATATCTCACACATTTAGGTAACTGATTAAAGAGGATCAAGCAGCTTGACAGCTTTTAATTGGATAACATCAATGACAATTCTGAAGCCAATTGGAATAGATCTAGTAGTGGCTAAAATAGTTGACTCTCGCATATGCTGTATGACAAATATCTAGCTGTATAATTTATAAGAGGTATCTCTTGTAAATCACCTTGGGATGCTCGCGTATGGGAACCAACACGCGCTGCGATATGCGCAGCGGCTTCTCTCGATATATGTCAGCGTATTTTTGTTCCCGCGACGGAATGCGTCCAGTTGTCTGCACCTTTTCAATCTCTACAAGAAACAAAATTTAATTATTTACAAAAAACTGGCAGACACGCTTACCACCCTCCAACAGCTTCTCGGCAATGGGAAACTTTCGATCCATGCGATTCTTCTCGGCCATGCAATCGCGTATGTATTCGCTGGCCTTTTCGTTCAACTGCACATTGCTACTGCCCTCGGGGCCGCCATGATCACGATCGCGATCGCGATGATCGTGGACGCTGCTATCGCCATTATGGGCACCGGCGCCGCCGCCACTGCTTATGCTCTTACGAGGTTTTCCACCAACACCGCCGCCTCCTCCTCCTCCGCCAACATACTCATTGCTGTCGTCCTCGTTGTATGCGGAATAGTCGCCGTTGCTATCGTACTTTTCGGTCATGCTTATGGGTCAATCAGGTGGCAACAATCAGCGTTCGATTTGACTAATGGATATTCAATGACCCTCACGGCAGCTACAATGATCAATCAATTAATTATTAAATGTAAGTACACATCCAAATACGTATGTATATGGATATATACATGCATTTATATATATATATATATATATATATATATATATATATATATATATATATATATATATATATATATATATATATATATATATATATATATATATTTATATTTCAACCCTTTGACAAAGTCTCATTTAAATCAGTTTTCATAAGCGCATTCAAATTCAAATGCAGCTACTTCTCGTCCCCACCAACCCGCTAATATATGTATATATATATACAAAAACATACACACACGCATACAGCAAAGCAAAAACAACCACCGTGCGAAATTCAAAGTCAATTTGTTGCCGAAAGCCAGTAGAGACCGGTAAAAACGCACATTAAAACATTTTTATTTCAATTGCTGCTTTGGTTGTACACGATTTCTTATCTTTGTCAGCTTGTTGGCCACTTTTTGCCACTCTTTGGCTCGTTCGTCCGTCCGTCCGTCCGTACGACCGTCCGTTTGTCGTCTTCGTTGTCTGTCCTCTTGCTGCACTTTCACTTTTCAGTGGGACGCAGTTGTTTCCACCTACGTACACATACATTTATTGCATTTTCTTGAGATTGTCGCCAAATCGGTTAAGATCCTTCAGTTCCACAGTTTTTCTATAGTGTTTCACTTTATAGCTTATAAGCATTCAGTTTTTGCCTATTTTAAATCAGTTTTTTTAAACGTTTTTGCACGGAATATGTTTTTTTTATGCAATGGCTGGCAATAAAGTTTTGGTTTTCGCGAGGGCTGCAGATTTGCGAAAAACAATGCACAACGAATGAGAGCTGCAGCCAAGTTAGCTTTAATTCGAAATACGAAAATCAGCTGTGCGAGAGCGCTTAAAGGTTGATGTCTAAACTAAGCGAAATGAATCCACACTTAACGAAACGAACTATTGCTGCAATTTAGCCATGGTTTTTTGGTAACTTTGCGTTAACCGCGAACAGTCACACTACTCGGTGCTTTGTCTTTGCGAAATTTTAATTTTATTTGATTTTTCATTTAATTTAACAAGTGGAATTAATGACCGGTATTTAAGGTATGACTCATTAACAATATGCCCAACGCCGCAACTAACAATGCCAACGCGAACTCATGCGTTGAGACGCCCACGGCGCCAGAGTGGCTGTCCAAGCTGGAGAGCCGACGCGAAATGTTGAAACGTTCGAAACTTGGCCACGAGTCCGGAGCCGGCGCTCCATGTGGCGAGTGCCTGGACAAGTGTCCTGGGCTGGATCTGCACTTCTGGCGCAAGGTCTGTCGCAATTGTATGTGCCGCAAGGATCAGCACATGTGCACCGACGACGATGCCACTGGTTGGGCGCAGTTCGAGATTCTTGGCCAGATACGAGCCAAGCCAGCATGTGAGTACAAATTTTGATATTAATATATGTAAAAATTTGTGAACACTTTTCCCACAGACATCAAGATTAAGGCTCTGGCCAGCCAGCCCGTGCAGGTGGAGTGGGTGCCACCGAATGCGGCGCCGGACGTAATATCGGATTACATGGAAAAACTGGGAGCTGCTCAAATTCCTGTTGCCGGCAGCGATGCCGCCCACAAGCGCAAGCAGCAGCTGGAGTTCCAGGTGCCGCCACATGATCTGGACGCCGCGCTCTGCGACAATCTCACAGAGACCGAGGCCCAACAGCTGCAGCAATATGTCCAAAAGCTGCGTGATCAATGCGTTGGCCAGGGCATCGTTGTGCGCGTAGGTCGCCTCAGCCATGGCCAAGTGGAGCACATTCTGCCGCCCCAGCTTCCGGCAGCGCCAGCCGTGTCCGACGTCGCTCGCAAGCTGTTCAACTCGCTAGGAGTGGCGCCCGTTGCGGATGCCACGCTTAACGAGCTGTTATCCAATCCAAAACTGGCCAATGCCCTTTCTATGCAAGGGGCACACGCTCAGCCCAAGCTCCTAGTAGCCTTTGCGGAGCCATTGAGCGATTCCACCACTGAATTCGATGCGCATCCCGCTTTACGGGCAGAAACCAAAGTCAAGTTGTTGGGCATTAGCAGACCCTCGATACAAAGCCTCGTTACGCATGGCGTCATCTACGATAAACTTCTGGGAACGTTGAAGGTAAGAGCGATGCTTAAGGTCTTGTTAAGTTTTTAAAGTAACCTTATTGAGAAAAATTTAAATTTTAATACTTGCATTCTGCATGCTTATTGGAAAAAATCATTTACTCTTATTGGAAAATAGGGTTTTTTTTACTCGCACAATTGAAGTCTTTCGTGTCATAGCAACCAGTTATTGTGTTGCTTAAATTGCAGTTTATAAAAATTTGAGTATTTCTGTGGTGTATTGTCCCCATACATGGTATGTTCCCCTATTATATTTTGTTGTATTTTTATTTGTGGTGAATTTGAGGTTACAATTTACTGAGGTGTAATGCCATCGTATACTTTTATTTGTGGTGAATTTTTCGTCTATATATACTTAGGTGTAATTTCATTGTACATTTTTGTGGTGAATTTTAAGTCTACACTTAGGTGTTGTCTCATCTTATAATTTTATTTGGTGCATCTACTTGTATCGCATATTCAAATGTGTTCAGATTCTACGATACATTTTCACCCAAACACTTAAGTTTCGTTAAATAAATTAATTTTCCCCAAATTTCGAGAAAGCTATATTCAACAAATTAATTTTCCATGCTATTCTTTAAACTGAGTTTAGCTCAAAATGTCTTAGTTTTTATGAGTGAAAATGGGAACTTGTCTTCTAAACTTTTACTAACTTGTCTTTTAGTCTATAATTATTTTGCTTATCATTATTAAGTAAATCAATTTCACTTCTTCCACTTGCAGGAGAAGAACCTAAATATTTCACGGGATGCCCGCCTTGGTCCCATTTCTGAGTTCCGCAAGGAGTATGTGAGCAATCCGCAGTTCAGGGCGGAGATCAATACAGTATGTCCCCCGCCTGCCATGGCAACAACACCACTGAAATCATCCCCATCTACACCATTCCACTCGCCGTTGCCGCTCAAGAATCCGGTGCAGGCCCGTTTTGGGTCTCAAATGCGTCAGGATACGCCCATGCGACGTGTCAAATTCGGAGGCGTGTCCACCATTTTGTATGATTGTGGACTGCCCGCTCATATTGACTACGAGCGGGACCCGGTGTTTGCGCAAATCGTGCAGGCAGAGCCCTTGAAGCAGGCGCTGCAGGAGGTGCGCTCCGGTCGAGCTGCTCCTTCTGTTGTCATTGCCTCAGCGCCAGTGTCCACGGCTAATCTACAGCAGCTCCATGGCCTGGCGCCTGCCACCAAGGCGCAGCTGCAACGCGTCGGCGTAGACAAGAACATGCTGCACTCGGCAGTGGCCAATGCGCCCTACTATAATCGCCTGTTTCAAACGTTGCAGGAGAAGGGCATACGACATGATCAGTGCCAGCTGCTGGAACCACTCAAGCAGGTGCATGATTGGCTATTGAACGATGAACAGTTGCTGGACGACATCGACAAGCTGTTTGCAGACATGGCCAATGCAGCCAGTGCAGGCGGCGACATTAGCTACGGCAACGAGATGCTTACCAACTCCGCAAGTCACGATTCGGGCTTCTGCTCAAAGCCATCAACACCTGGGTATGCGGGCGAGGACCTTAACGCCAGCTTGGGCAAGTTCACCAGCATCCCAGGCATTGAGCACATGAATATGTATCCCAACTGTGCCCCCATGTCGGAGCAATTCCAGCAGCTACAACTGGGCGACTCAAACGCAACGGGTGGTAAGTGAAGCAGAACATATCAATCGAACGACTAGCTATACTACTATATATATAATATGGATCTATTAATTATTTACAGATGCAGCAGCAACAGGCACAGTGGCTGTGTCGAACATCAGCTGCCGCGATTGCGGCCTGGCCATTGAGTTCGGCGAGGTGGCCGTCAAGGCGGAGCGAGCAGGCAAAGAGATCGCTTGGCATCCAGGCTGCTTCAAGTGTCAGACATGCCGCGAGCTGTTGGCGGACTTGGTCTATTTCTTCCATCACGGGCAGGTGTACTGTGGCCGCGACTTGGCCATCAAGCTGAAGATACCGCGCTGCAAGGCCTGTGATGAGCTGATCTTCACCAAGGAATACACCGCCGCCGAGGGCGCAACGTATCACATCAAACATTTCTGCTGTCTGCAATGCGACGAGCCGTTGGCTGGCCAGCAGTACATACCCGATGAGAAGTCCAACATGCCTCTGTGTCTGCAGTGCTACGACAAGTTCTATGCCGGCACCTGCAAGCGCTGCCAGCTGCCAATTGGGCCCGCTGATCAGGGCGTTGCCTGGGGCGACATCCACTGGCATGGACCGTGCTTTGTGTGTGCAGGTGCTCAGTGCTCCAAGTCCCTGATTGGCGGTCGCTTCTGCGTCAAACAGGACATGCCCTTCTGCAGTCCAGCCTGTGTGCGCAGCATTATTCCAGCCTAACTCCCAGGCAACTAACAACAATCCAAACAGTATTTAAAAAATGCGCACAAACTATGATCAGATTTATATATAGTATATATATATGCATATTGTATATATATATATGTATCTATATAGCGTTTCCACAAGCCATGCAACAATGCACAATTACGAGGTTGAATTCCTTTTGCTTTATTTATCTAAAGTGCCTAGCCTATACACTTATATAGCATGATCTACCTATATCTTTATATATATATGTAGTTTACACACGATTTTAAGCCGTGCCAATAGTCTCTTATGGAAAATATCTACACGCTCGCATTCGAGTACATATATATGTATATGAAAGTATGTATTCATACAGATATAAAGTATTATCTATACACGTTTTTTATGACATTTTATAAAGCACTTTACACAAGAAAAGTTTTAAATAAAATATACTTCAAATTGCTTGCAATACACAGGAAAAGGTTATTTATTGAAGAAATTTATCTGCTCTATATATTAAAGATAAGTATAAGTATAACTATGAAAACTAAGTAAATGTTTATATGTTTAGGTTTGTCCATAAAAGTGAACTTCAAATATTTATTCGAGCTTGCGAAACCCTTTAACGAATTTGTAGACGCAGCGGAGTTACGCCTGGAAACCCTGCATGGACCAACTACTGAGCTTGCAGCTTCTGCCTGCACTGTCATGCCTCTGAAAGGGCATCCTTCTTCTATACATTTCGAATATGAAATAGAGTACTTCTTAAGCAACTTCAGTCTGTGTCTAAAATACGCTTCAAGTATGCCTAAATTTAAGCTGCATATTAAAAGTACCGGGAAATTATTTTTCCCAAATACAGCAATAAAATTTCCCAGCTTTTGAATACCCTGCTATAAGCTAAACAGACATTTCGACATTAGTTATAAATATGTAGCCAAAATGCTTCTAGGTGGCAGCCAGATTAAGTTATATATATTTAACATGTTTCATCGCTTTGACCTCAAAATTACCTTAAGGTTTATGCGCAATAACAAGTAAAGCACAATTTAATCTTTCTGTAAAAGAAAGTTCCATTTCGGATAAAGGAAAATCTTCTTAAAACACGAATTTTGTTATATTAATTTTTACGTATTTGCTGGTAGTTTTTATTGGTAATTGCATTTCATTATTAATTAAACATAATATATCTTTTTTATATGTATTATGTGTGTATGTATAAAGATTGTTGATTCCTTTTTTTGTTTTTCATTCTTTATTTTATTTTATTTTTTTTTTTTGACATTTCATTGCGAAAAGCGAAACAAAAGGAAAATCACATAATTTGCTGAATTACAGAGAATTGGTAATTGGGTTAACGTTCTGCTCTCATTCAAGAGTTCCGAGGATGATGATTAGTTAGCCTGCAAGTCCCTTTGTTGCAGTTTGTCCTGTATATATGTGTATGTCGGTGTGTACTCTCTTTATGTATATCGTCGGATCGTATATCGATCCATATAGGTGTCTGTATGTCCCTTAATGAATCGGAATGTCCCTAAAACCCGCCGCCATGAAAAGAAAATGGACTTTTCTGCTGGACAGGATTTTTTAGTGGATCACGATTTGGTTATTAATGCTTAGGTGTGAATAGGTGTATAGGTTAAATGAGTTGATTTTTGTTTTTGTCAAATATATGTTCAGCATGAAATCTATGTTTTCTTTTATTTCTCTTCAGTGTGAGCTACCAATTAGTTGATTTTTTAATCTTAAATTAACACTATTTTGTTTGCTCTCTCGCTCTCTCTCCCTCTCGATCTCTGTTTCTGTTTCGCTTGCTCTTCTTTTTGTTTCTTTAATTTATATATTATATTTTAATAAGTATTAATTACATTGATAATTAGTTTAATCATTATTTTTGCTTGTAAACAACTTTACATGATAGGATTTTTAGTTTAGTTTTCTTTTGTTTCGTGTTTGTTTCATGTTTGTAATTTGCTATAAACAAAAAACTATGCCTTAAAATAATACTTTAGTTACAAGTTTTATTTCTCGCGCTTTGCATTAATTTTGTTCGCCTACTTCGTTTGCATAACTAAAAACAATCAACAAAATGAGTTAAGTGCAAATAAAATAATTATTATTTTCTTTTTGTTTTGTAACTAATATATATATATAAATATATATATATGCGCGGGAGGGGGTCGGGGTGGGTACCGGGTAAGGGGGAGTTTTCTATATAAAACGATAACTAATAGTAGCCCTTAAAGTTAAGTTCGGGGATTTGCTGCAGAAAAAAAAACAATAAAACAAACACTAATTACAAAGCGATCTGGCAACACTGGTTGTGAGGGGTTCTGCATGTGACCAGTGTTGCCACACGTGGCGTGCGAGCTTCTCGCTTTCCTTTTGTTCCATTTTTTCTTTCTCTCGTTCTCTTTCGTCTACTTCCGTTTAATACATAACCAAACCGTGTTGAATGCAGGCAGTGGCAGATCCCAGACACAGACACAGATACAGTTACAGATACAGATACGGACATGGATTCGCATTCAGATTCGGATGAGGATACAGATTCTGTTGCCCCCGTCACACACACTCTCACAGACACACACAAACACACACATGCCCACATACATCTTAAAGCTATACACAAAAAATGTCAAGTTAAATGTACGAAAAGATTTGCAATCGCCAACGTCTTGGGGGCCCCCTTAGAACATAATGCGCGTGAGGAGCAGCCGGAGCAAAATCAGCTGTTGCCGTGCGAGGAAGCCTCTGCCATTCATTTCCATACTCTGTCCGCTCCCATTTCCATTCCTGTTCCTGTTCCTGTTCACGTTTAGCATCACCTTCACTGTCATCTTTGCATCCATTCGCATGTTGCAGCGTCGGTTGTCAACAATTCGTGTAGACGCCTTGAGTGTAATACAGCTCGGTGATCCGCTCCGGCAGCGTGCTGTACAGGTTGGTGATCAGGTCGTGCGGCAGGCGTGACCACGCCTCCTTGATGCGGAAGATGAGGTCGTCCTTGCGCGAGAACTTGCGACCACCGTCAAACACCTCACGTATCAGCCAGCCCCAAATGTTCTCCATAATGTTCAAGTCGTGGGCAATTGTGGGCCACTTTTGCGTCTTTAAGCCCTCAGCATTGAGCAGCTCCTGCGCCGTGGGCAGAGCGTGCGACATCCAATTGTGGTCCTGCAGCACAAACTCTGTATTGCCGCCCAGTTTGCCAACAATGTTGGGGCGCTCCCGTAAGATGGCCTCGATGCAGGACTCAGGACGCTGCTTGGCGGACGAGACTTCCAGATAGATGGGGCCACCGACGCAGATCATCAGGTAGATGTAGACGGAGTTGCCGCGCGGCCGCTGCGACAGCGTGCGCTCATAATTGCGCAGATCGTGAAAGTAGTAGGAGAAACCATCGGGGCCATCCAAATTGAAGCGTCGCTCATCATGGAAGATCACACGGCGCCAATGCTCCTCGCTCCACACGATGTACGTGTTGGCAAAGTTGAGGCGCTCCGTTTGATTGTATTGCGAGAGAAGCGGCTCTGTTTTCAGTTTCTTGGCACAGTTGGCGGAGCCGGACGCAGATGTTGACGAGGCGGACGACGTTGAAGAGGATGACGACGATGACGCTGACGATGAGGACGCTGATGCTGACACTGACGAGGAGCTCGGCGCACTAGCGGCAGCTGTGGCACGCAGCAGCGCATTTGCAGCGGCAGCTATATTGCTGTTGCTGCCACCGGCAACTGCAACTGCGCCGCGTGGCTGATGGCTGATGATTGTGGGTGAGACGCTGGAGCCGTTCGATTGCTGAGTGGGCGCGTGGCTGGATGCAGTGCCTCCTGTACTGGAGCTGGCCGCCGAGAAATTTGAGTTCTGATTAAGCGCATGCACCGGCAAATGACTTTGTTGACTGGCTTGCACCTGTTGCTGTTGCACCTGCACCTGCACCTTGTGTTGGGCGTGATGCGCAGCTGGATGGCTGTGGCTCAGCTGTGTCTGTTGCTGCTGCTGCTGCGGCTGCTGTTGATGCTGCTGGTAGTAGGGATGGTGATGATGATAGCTGATGTGCTGCTGGTGCTGGTGTATTGTTGGCTGTTTGAGCTGCAGTTGCTTTAGCTGCGTCTGCGACTGTGCGAGCAGCTGTTGCTGCTGCGCATGAGCTGCGGCTGCGCTGCTGTTACCCGTCGGCTGGGCGGTGCCCACATAGTTGCCCTGATGATTCAGATAGTAATGCAATGCCATTAGTTTGTTGGTATTGTTAACTGTGCCCGCGCCAGCGGATGCGCCGCCCCCCACTGTTCCCATCGTGGAAACGGGCACTGCTGTGCCGCCTGCCACTAGCTGCACGCCTCCTGGATGCCCATGGGCGGCTGCTGCAATGGCGCCCGCACTGGCGGCCAACTGAGCGGCTGACTTTGGATCGTAAATGAACTTGTTAAAGTTCTGCAGATCGTCTGGACTGAGCACTAATGTTTTCATTTGAAGTCTGGAGTGTATCGCTGCAACTTGTTGTCCTTCTCGTATGGTTCCTTGTTGTTGCTGTTTATGTTTACGTTGTGGATTTATGCTTTATGTGTTTTCATGTGATCAAGCGATGTGGCAACACTGGTGTTTCGTAAATGCAGTCGAGTGAGTGCGCGGCTCCAAGTTGACTACGCTCACGCACACGCACAACGACAACGACGCACTTTCACGAATGCGCGCAGCTCGTCGACTCGCTACTGCCGAGATTTCCAAATTCGTTGTGCGTTCGAGTTTGTATTAACGGTTGTTAAGCAACACCGAACACCGAAATGCCGAACAGCAACAGCTCTATGCCAGTCAGAGTCTCTCTCTCTCTCCTCTCTCACTTGTTGTCTTGCGCTCACGCAATGTCCAGCTACGTGCGCTCTTTCGTTCGATCGCCTTTGTCTACGTTACACAGTGGGCGTACATGCGTGCGTATATGTGTGTATGTTATCAAAGGGCTGGCCCTGGCCCTGCTGCGTGTTTGTCGAACTAAACTTCAGCTCAGTGGCTCTCTCGCCCGATTGCAAAACTCGACGACGTCGTAAAAAGATGTCGGTTTACTTTCCCACGTACATACGTGTAAGTTGGCAGCTCCGTTGGCGTCTGCGTCTATGTGTGTGTGTGAGAGTGGTTATGTGTGAGTAGAGCTCTTTCAATATGTTATCCTCTTTTGTTGAAGTGGTTTTTCTTGTCGGTTGCTGTTGCTGTCGTCGGTTGGTTGCTGTGCAAATGTTTCCTTGTTTCTTTATTCTGCGTGCCGCTGCTTCGATGTTGCCCCTAGCTGTTATTGTTGCTGTTGTTGTATTGCTGCTTTTAGGTATTCAGTTGTCGTCGATTTACCTGGAATGAAATAAAGCAGGTACGTATGTGAGAAAGAGTCTTGTTTCACACTTTGCATTGTGTTTTCTCATACAATATATGCAGTACACACACGCACACGAATCACTTATATAAATGCATTCACATGCACGTATATATATATATATATATATATGTATATGCATATGTATATGTATATGTATATATATATATATATACTTTAAGAGTTACTTGTGTGTGCATGGGCCGAAACATGTATTCCAATAATTTCTTGGTGAAATCTTCTTTGTGCCCGACAAAAAAAAAAAAAACAATTCGGAACAGATGTTCAACGTACTCAGATTTCAGGTCCCCGTTTCCCTATGCCAAAAAGTAAATAAAAGGTCGTCTGTCTCTCTGTCGTCATCGTCGCAGTTGGTGTCTTTTGTCGTTTCTTTTAAAATGAGAGCACACGCACACACATGCACGCATAACCGACACGCACACACACACACATGGGCAAGTGCAGTTGCATTTCGTATTTTGGAAATCTTTTGGGATTTTTTTTTTTGCGAATTTCACTTTGCAGGTTGTTTTGTTTCTCTGTTTTGTATTTCGGCATAAGCAGTTGGGTCAAAGTTCAACTGCTCAAGGAGAAATTTACAAAAAATGTTGTGTGCATATATGCTGTGTATTCAAACGCAAACGCAGGTAGGCAGATGATTCCGCCGGCAGGTGTTGAAACCAAAAATCCTAAATATATAATCACTATCCAGCTGCTAAGAAACATGTTTTTGACTGATTAAACAACAGAGAATAACTATGTTTACACATACATACACACAGCTACAACAGGGACTAAAAACCGGTTGTCAATTGATGTCTAAACTAAATGAAAAAAAAAAAACAGCAAATTTTATAAAAAAAATAATTCAAGTAAATGTGACCCATTTTTGGCTATGTTTTAACAATTAATGTACAGTGTATATACTTGCTTTAAATAAAATTATTATCAAGGTTTTAAGACAATGTGATTAACTTTTTTTTATATATTTCTAATATTTTTATATTAAAAATAAGATGTAACTTAAATATTTTAAATAACTTGGCTAAATAGAAATCACAAAAAAATTAAATTCATAGATCGAAGCTTTGCAGCCCTGGTATATTCAGACAAAATCTGTTTTAAAGACAATCGGATTTTTTGTTTTGTGCAACTTTGTTGCGTGTTGTTCGGGCAAAAACGAATCCAAAAATAATTTTGCTATATTTGAGTTTGTTGTTGTTGCTGATTTGATGAGTTTTTTTTTGTTTTTTGACGATAACGCTACGGCATTTAATATATGCATTGTACACACTCATACATATATATATATATATATATAAATATCTGTATATGTACAAAAGACATTTAGTGTACACATAGGCCAATGTTTCTACGTGTTGTTCCGAGCTTTGCGAACAGAGACAGACGAACGCTTCGGTAGACACGAGCAGCGGCACGCACGCACGCACAAGTTTCAATCCCGATATTTCAGTTGCTCCCCGCTCCCCTCCACCACTGCCTCTCCCACAACAATTAGCTAATAAATTTGATTACTTTGTATTTGCGGGCCCAATGCTAAGCTGCCCAAGCCAACATTTGCCCGTACGATGGAGCCATTTCCTAAATGGTGTGAGTTTCCCATTTTCTCATTTCTTCAGCGATTTCACAGTAATAATAAAATGAAATGAAAACCAAGTCCGCATAACAACAGGGATGAAAACCGGTTTGCTGCCCAAAAACTAGAGTAAGGGAAGAAGAAAGCTGCTGCAGGGCCATTCGCCTCTGTATGTGTGAGAGCGTATGTGTATGTGTGAGTCTCTTTGGGGTTGTTCATTCGGCTGCGATGCTGTGTGTGTGTGTTGTACTGCTGCTGCGATATAAGTCGGTCGCCTGTCGGTCACTTTTGATCGAAGCGAGCGCAGCAGCTGGTGAAGCAGTTTAGAGACAAAGAACAATAACTTAATGCATTTATAATATTATGAAAAGGTTTTTTAAAAATATGCAAAATATGTAAAAAAAAATTTTTAATTAAAATTGATAAATAAAAAATTTTAATTTTATAATTGATTGAAAATAAATTAAAAATTTTAATTTTTTTATACCAATACTTCAAATCAATATTCAAATCAAATTCAAAGCATTGAAATCCCAAGTAGTGCTGCACTTATAAATAATCATTTAAAAATACTTCCTATCAATAGATCAATTTATGATCAAAATTAACATTTCATTTGTTTAAATATTTATTGCTCGGATAGAGCTCAGATACAAAAGGCACAGATCGCATTTATGAAATATTCAATCTTTGCCCACCGTACGTAGGGGTCGAAAGTTAAACACAACGAAGAAGAAGAGACCACTTCGATAAACGTCACGCACACAAGTATAGCACTGATTGATTTTTTTTTTTTCAAATTGGTCGCGTGGTATGTGAATATTATCTATCCTACATCTGATGCGATAAGATATAAGCAAACAACGATCGCAATAATATAGTTATTATTATTGGACTTCAAGCTGTAGCAATATCGACCTGATAAAAATAGATACAATTGAAGGCCCTAGATAGTTTGAGCCATCTGCAAAAGTAACTGTTTATTCGAATTGGCTGACTAAGAAAATTAAAAGGTAAAACACACAGACACGTTTGACTCATGTTATCTTCCATATGATTCAAGGAAACAGTTTTTTTTTATGTTTCTGCGACTTTGCTGCTGCTGTTTTTCGCAAGTGATTTTTACTTTTTTCAATCCACCATGTGATTCACACTTGAGAATTTATATTTACAGTTTCACTGTTCACATAGCATTGATTATTGATTTCAAATTGATTATTACAGATGCGCATAACACATTTGAAACGCTAACTTTTAGGACACTGTCTGCTTTCAATGCACTGAAAAATATTGCAATTTGCTGTTGTTGCTGGTCAAAGACATTAAACTCTGTATGTGTGTGTACATGTGTACAAGTGGAATGCGACAAAAAAACATACGCGAATTACGCGTTGCGGGTGGGAATTGAACCGTTCGAACAGTTACGTTGTTTTGTATAGCGTCGCGTTTTACGTTTTACGTATCACATATGCATTTAACGAGAGCTCTCCTAGATGCACATACACCAAACCAATTCGAGCACATGTACATATATACATATGTAAATATCCAAAAATATAAACGAACCCAACGACAGCGACAACAACAACAACAACAACGAACTGATGTTCGCCAGAGCTGTACGTAATAAAATCCCTTGCGCTGCAATGCAGTCGCAGTCGACAGCGCAGTTGCTGCGCAGCACATGCTTCGCCTCTTATTTATAAATTGAGCCAGCCCTTATGTGTTCAACTCTGTTATGTACCAGCACCAGCAGCAGCGGCTGGCGAGACATACATATGTACATACACATTGTCTCTACGTAGTACGTGCGTGCATGAGGTTTGTCTGTGTTCGTATGCGTGTGCGCTCTTGTGTGATGCCATCGTCGATATTGAAAGTATGTATGTATGTATGAACATTGTACATAATACGACGTATCGACGTTGGTTTGTACGGTACGAATCGTTGAAAATTGCTTGGGTTTGCGAACAACGGGACGAAGATCTGATACGAAGTGATTCTTTTTTCAGTTAATTCTTTATATATATACATATATACGTTAATACGTACTATACACATATATATTCATGAATGTATGTACATATCATTTTCATTTTTCACGGAACAAATATGGCTGCACAGAAACTTGCGTTGAAAACGCTTACGCTGCTCACATTAAAGCTTATTAAAACTTTTCACATTCACACCAATTATATATATACTATATATATATATAAATATATATATATATATATACATATATACATATATAAATGTACACATATGTACGTAAGTATACATGTATTTCTGGTTTTTTAATCAAATATTGAAAGAACGAACGACCATTAAATGCTGACTGGCTGATTGGGGAGCGTAGATTCCGTTTGCGTTGCCGTTTGTTGGTTTGAGTGCGTGATTACGCCATTTTCTTTACTCTTGCACGCCCAATTTCACATTTACCTCTTTGTTAAATTTTTGTATTTATTGCTTTGCACACGCGTACACTGTGTTAGCGAATTATTTAAAGTGTTTTATATATAATATTTATATATATCACTATTAGCTATATTTTCCCTTTAATGATTTTTTAAATGCATTTGTTAAAACTTATAAGTTTTCACCACTACCACACACACGACTTGTCGACAGACTCGCTGAAGTTAAGGAGATGGCAATATCTCGATATTTCACAAACGATGATATTTCTACTATCGTTAATTATTCTAAACAAACATACCTTATCGATATTACAAAATCTGTAAATTATATGTTTTTAATTTCGTCATAAAACAAATATGATTTATATAGTGTGATGTTTGTTTTGAGATATGAACGCAAAAGTTTATATTAATTTCCTTTTAGTGGAGTTTAAGTATTTCCTTACATTAACAGCACATTTCAAGTATCGATAAGATGCAGAATGCTTATTAAAGAGTTGAGATGGTTATGATACGAAAAATTGATCAAGTAAAAGTAAAATGTAATTTTAATATATACGTATTTAAAATTTTTAAAACAATTAGATTATAGAAAATATTCTACCATCAATCGATTGCTAACATTTGGTACCAGCACAACAGCTGAGCTCTGTTGATGTAATGTTAACATTTCGCTTTTTAACCAGCTGCTAAAAACCATTTGCAAATGTTAATCAAGATGTTGACTCCCCCAATGAGATCACGATATGTCTTCCATGACTTTCTTATATATATATATATATATATATATATATATATATATAAGTATGTCAGATTACTTATTTGTATATACATTAAAATTAGGGAAATATGCAACTTTTTATCAGCTATAAGTTTCGCCTAATAAGCATTTAATCGGTTGGATTTTGAATAACAATAAGAATAAAGTCCTTGTCAGGTGCGACCATAATTTCATGTTTCTTGGACCGCACTCGCAGGAATGTCATATCGTTGGATGGGTCGAGATCGCGCACCACACTCCGCGCTTTGTCGGCCAGTTGACTCATCAAACCCGCGTATTGAACGGTTGTTGTGTTGTCAAGCGTTGATTTAACTGGAATACCTAATAAGCCAACTCTGCGTTACTAAGGCAATGAATGAAATGAATGAAAATTTTAAACACACCTTCATTGTTGACAACAATTGTTCCGACGACACCTTTATGGCTTTGGATTCGTTTCAGCGTTTCTTCTACTTCTTGCGACTGTCAGTAAAAATTAATATAAATTGATTTCTTAATGTTTTGCCATTTATTTACCATTTTAACTTAGAATGTAGTTCAATCCCTTGCAAATTGAATGTTTTGCAAAAAAAAATAACTTTTGTTTGCTCGATACGGTGGTGTGACCACCTAGCAAGAAGAGAAAAAAACCATATTTAATAAAAAATACTAGTCCAATGTTATTTATTATTATGCCTTATGCAATATTTTTTTGAACTAGATTTATTTAAAAAAATTAAATATAATTTCTGTTCAACATTTGAACATTTACAATAAAAATACCATTTACTTAAGATATCTGCATGCGGGTCACACTGAACACCGGTATTTGACCTGCAGACCTATATAACAGTCGTTAGCTCTATAACTTATCCATGACAACCCAAAAAAAAAAACGTATAATAGACATTGACCGAATTAATTGATTAATCATGATTAAAGCTGCTCCAGAAAAGGTATAACTGATTTCAATTAGAATCTCAACATTTAAAGCAAAATAATTATTTATCTATAGCCACCACGAACGAGGCAATATGTGGAAGAAGCTTTTCAACAAATTCAAAAGAAGAAAAACATTCGTGATATTGTTATTGTAAACGAATTGGGACATCCAGTAAAAAGCACTATGGAGTTTAAGTCGTCTGTCAAATTTGTAGGCCTCTTTCAAGAGCTTCGAGGCAGAATCGAGCGAGGAATGGAACACATTGATCCAAGTGATGAACTGTTGATGCTACGGGTACGCACTAAAACCCACGAAGTTTTGTTAGTGCCAGACGCTAAAATAACTGTAATTGTTGTGCAGAATGCAGATAAATAAAGTTGATAGCATTTTAGTGACAGTAAAATTTTCTTATAAATATTGAATTTGAATTAGATGCCAACCGGGCTAAACTCCACTCCACTTTGTTGCACTTTTGCGTTAACAGGAGTACTCTTTGCGTTAACAGCGCAATCGGTTTCACGTTATCGATGTTGTGCTCGGTCTAGTATTTTTGACATATAGCGCTGTTATAAAAGTAGATTAACTCTGCTTTGGCTTTGTTATTAATCAAACTTTAGCTACATATTATGATTGTTGCCAATAAGAAATAATTTAAAATGTTAAATTAATTTTTGTATTTATTGATTCAGTTAACAACAATAATTGAATTCAGTTAACAATTTGTAAAATGTAGTAATGTCATTTACAACATTATTGGCTGCGCTGTTAGTATCATGTTCGTAAACTGTTAAGTTAACATACGAAATGAACGGGAGGCAAGCCCAACACATACGTACGCAGAGTTTTGTTGTGTTCGGTCGGTGTGCTATTTACGTCGTAATTAAAGTAAGAGCAAAAATACTAGCGCGTAATTAATTAATCAAATTTGTACGACTTTGCTCAAAGGTGTGCAAATTGGTTCGTTTTTACCGCGCGGCGATGCTAAAGTGAATGCTGACGTCGCGGCAAAAGTTGATGACGTCGCGCTTCAGCCTAAAAAGGCGTTGACAAAACAAACTTGAAAACGGAACGCAAAGCAAATGCAGACATAAAAGCACAACAACAAAATAAAAAGAAACACCTGAAAAATTCGGTCTCAAACGCAGATACGATAGACGCAAAGCAGAAGTAGATCAAATATATTGTTTAAGCAAATATTCAACTATACTCGTATTCGTATTCCTATTCATACTCGTGTGTGAGTGTGTGTTTGTGGGTCTTTGCAATATAAGATTGTGCAAGTGTGCGAATCAGAAATAGAATTTACAAACGAACGCGACACCCACACAAAACGTACGGTAAATGCAGCGCCGCAAAAATGAGCAGCATAACGCTAAACGAAATGGTCAACGTGACACAGCTGGATTTACACGATCTATTAGAAACTTTCGAAAAAAAATCATTCGAGGCGGTAGCCTTTGAGGAAGGCACAACGGTAAGTCAAAAGCCTGTAACGTCAAAAAGCCTGTAGGCGCCGCACGTGCACGTGCAGTAACATTTCCGCTAACAGTGCTGAACATTGCCAAAAAGAAAATGTAGACGGGGTAGGGCGTGCAGGGATGTTGCTTAAATTCGCCTTAACAGCAAAATTTACTTGTAACCCACCCCTGTCCTTTCCCTTCATGTAGCCGCGCCCAATGGACTGAAACGTAACCACTGCTCTAAATTATTTTCAATTGCTATCTCCCTCTAAACCCCAATGCTCTGCTTAATGGAAATCGATGAAAGCATCTTAAGATTTGCACGTTTTATATCAACAGCCAAAAAAAAAAACACGTAAAACTACATACATATGCTCGTCTGCTGCTTGTTCTTCTTTAACTTGACATGCTTTGCCATCGTTTCGAGTTACGGTTATGTTTGTTGCTAGTCAATTACAACATTTACGACTTTTACAACAAACAGTTGACACGCACTTGACTAATTTGTTTGTTGGCCCCATTTTCCCAATATTTCATTATTTATGTGGGCTGCATAAAATTACGTTTTATGAGGCAAAAAGTTCGATTGCGTTTATATATATAACAAAAAGTCAATTTACTTTTATATATACAAATATATATAATATACAAATCGACTATCGCAAAAAAAACCAAACCCATTTGCAAGATTTGTGGGGCGTACAGCAATACTCTTGGTCATTTCTGTTGCATCTTCGATATTCTCTGTTAACTTCCTGTTAACCTGCATGTTAATTGACCGCTAAACGCTAGCCGGCAACAATAACAACATGTGTAAATGCACATGCAAATGAGCCTGTAAGTGTGTGGGGGAGAGTAAGACAGTGAGAGAGGGGCAGAGAGCGTATTTATTTATATATGCAAATGAAAACCGCAAACAGTTGGCAACAGCGAAACAACAAATGCCATACAAACGTGTGTATTACAAAACTTGGCACGTAACAGCAACGAGTCAACTAAAACGCTGCTACCGTTCCCCTTCCCTTTCCCACCGCCTCAATGCATTTACTCAGCTGCAATGCAATAATGATAAGCGCAAATGCTTTGCAATAAATCGAAGTGAATTCGAAAGAAATATCCAAATGTTTGCGCTGCCTGTTGCATTGTTGCAGCTGCACTCTAAACTTTAGAATGTTGTGCACATTATCTATTCTCTTGTACTTGTTCGTTTATCAAACACTTTTGGCGCTTATCAGCGCTGAACGCAACTAGTTTCTTATCAGCGCACAACTTTGTCAGCGCAAAAAAGAAAATAAAAAGAACTAAAGAAAATAAAGAAGGAGGAATGTTAAATGTGAATGTTCTTTCTCTAGCATTTATTTTCTTTTTTATTTAAATTAAATATTGTAAAAAAAAACCTAATGAACTCAAAATACCCTTGTGATGTACTTATGTATGTATGTATGTAAATCTGTCTCACAATCACAAATTGAATTATTTTATAGCATATCAATTGAACACGTACGATCTGTACGTGTTTCAGAGCTTTAGAAAAATTCAGTTTGTAGTCAAATTAACTATTTAAACAAAGCAAATTTGATGTTGTAATTTTTACATATATTTGTTTTTTTCTTTTGTATTATTTAAGCCATACGAACTGAAAAGGAAGTAATTCAATATTTTCAGTAATATTTTGTGTAGTTTCAGTATTTCTGAAGTGAATTAGAAAAGGTTTTTATAAGCAACTTGAAAAAAAAAAACAAGTGTGCCTCCGACTACTTAATACCCGCTCACGGTCTCAGAATAATTAAATCATTTCCGGCTAATCTCAAGATGTCAAATCTGGCTTCAATTTCTTCGAACATTTCGAAGACGAAATTTCAAGTCTCTGAATCCAAATTATACTGTACAGTACCTGTGGTAGCAGCTGGACAACAGGGCGTAAATAGTATTAAAAAATTATATATATTATATATATAAAATCTGTTACAGCTACTTGCATAGGTCTTGCAAGTTTGGACTTACATTTAGAAAACAATATTTTAGAATTCGCTTTTCGTCTGAATTTATTGCTTGTTGCTTATTGTTTATTGTTTTGCTTTGTTGTGCACTCGTCAATCAATCAAACAGCAATCATTATAAAGTGATTAGACCCGTATCAATACTCTACTTTATAAATACAACCCAAGTTTCTTATCAAAAAAAAGAAGAAGAAGCAAAGCGCCTGCACCTCATATGACGCTAGCTGCATTTTAATTTGAAACTTTTCGTATTTTTGTTGTTTTCTTTTCTTTGTTTAAAGTTGTTTACTTAACTGCTTCTATTTTTTTTTTGTTTTTTGGTTTTGTTTTCGTTTGTGTTTCTGTTTTTTTACTTAAGGTTTAATTTTGTAGAAATTATTTATAGCTTTAATGCTGGCACGTGAGCAAACAATTTGCGTTTCAGTTTAATTTTGAATGGGCGCCAGATCAAGTCAGAACTGACTGAACAGGGATCAAAGTTTAATTTCAGGGTATTACATAAGCGCATATATATAAAGAGACTTTATATTTATTTTTATTATAGAGAAAGACTTGTAAATACTCATGGCAAAGTAAAACAACAGCTTTACGACCAGAACTAGAATGGGTAGAGAACGATCATTAATAGACTGAGAGTAGCACGATCTGCGAGTTCTAAAAAATTAAAAACAAAGCAAATAAATTATATAAGAAATACTCCTAATATACATATATAAATTGCAACTGTTTGATATTCACAAAGGGTCGAAATAATCCCAATACAATTAAAGCTGCTCTAGATACCCGTTCAGAGCATATCAATGGCATCTATCGATTATTATCGATAATAGATAATAAGATGATCTATTGAAAAAAACAGAAAAGTCTCTACACCCTGTTGTGGTATACGAGATTGCTGTGGACGGACAGGTGGACATGAATATATATACCCTGAAAATCCATTCTCTACAGATAACTTAACTATCTAAAGTCCACATACGAAGTTAGGCAGCTGTACATCTTGTAGTCATCTATGTTATGATATATTTGTATATATATAAATATATATTAGAATATGCAATTTCAAACAGATAAATATACTTAACTTATAGATTGAATAGTTATATCTGTGCAATAAGAGAAAAATGTTTTGCTTTTTATACGGACAGATGAATGGTGATCAAATTGACCATTGCACAAAGCCAATATACTCTTTTTACTCTCCTGAACGAGTATAAAATGAATCCCTCTGTCTAACCCGATTTCTTATGAAGAATAAAACCAATTGAACTTGTTACACATCAAGATATTTGAACATTGTATTTTAAGCACATCTAAAAAAAAAAAACATTGTATTGTATACATTTATATATATATATATATATATATATATATATATATATAGATGTAGATCCAAGATTTGTATAGTTTGCAGTAGACATCAGATGTTCGTCTGATCGATGGATCGATTGATCTAATTGTTTTGCATAGCCCGCTTCAGCTCGAACTCGAAGTCATCCATCTCGAGATCGAACCCATCACATCTAACGGCACAGCCGTCCTTATTGAGCTTCTGCTGTGCCCAGAGTATTAGCTTCACCAGGAACATCATTTTGGGCTCCATGCACGCAGTATGACCGCCTCTGCGCAGAGCCGAGTCGAGCTCACGTTTCTCCTCAACGGAGCGCTGTGCGGTCCGTTCCATGTCTAGTTCTATGTTCGTCTTACTGGAGACGCTGTTCTTATAGTTGTTGCTCTCGCGTATTAGCTCAATGAGGTGCAGCTGCTGCATGTGAAAGTACATGTAGTTCTCGCTCTCAAATAGTTTCGGGTACAGCCGCTTGGCCATGTCGATGGCATATTGAACCTGAGCGGTGCGCACAGCGTTCTTGATGCGCTTCTGATATTCCACTGGGTCCAGCTGTGTCGTCTCCGATTCGAGTCGCGCCACAGCCTCGAAGCCCTGGGCCACATCCAAATAGCCTTCTGCCACTAGATATTTCATGATTAGCCAATTGATGTCCGCCTGCTTGGACTGAAAGCTCTTCATGCGATGTGGCCAGCCGGTGCGCTGGTTACTCCCAGCCATCTTAGAGAGATTTATATATACCGTTCGATTACTTAATTTTTGAGAAATCTGTAAAGAGATAGCAATTATAGAGAGAGTGGGCTGGTTTGCTTGGAGAAATAACCAAATATATATATTATATAATAATAATATAAAGATATAGATATTTATACAGAGAGATCTCCATAAATAAAAGAGGAATTAATATCATTTTATATGATCAATTTCTTATAAAAGTTCTTGATATCAACTTTTGATTATTCCAGGATAACAAGGTATATAGCACTAAAGATTCTCGAGCATTAGAAAGGAAGGCAACAATTTGCAATCAGCTTTCATCTGTTGCCAAGGCGATTGAGCTGATTAAATGTTGAACTTCAAATGCACATCAAAAATATTGCAAAAACACGCACAAAGCAAACAAATCAGAGGAACAAATTGTTTGCCGTATGCGACTAACAGATACTCTGTAAGATAGCAAACAGATCTTTACACATTAGATGAAACTACTTACCAAATATATGTGAGATTATATTAACTAGCTTAATTTGATATACATTTTAGTTGCCTTTGTGGAAAGGAATAAAATTGTTATGCGATTTGTTTCCTTAAAAATCTTTAATGTGTATAATCTCAAATATCCAACAAGCACTCAAACCATAATCCTGATCAAGAACATATATAATATATATGGTATCGGCCACTGCTCCTTGTAATCAAATAAAATCTATATACCCAGTTAAACTATTTGCAATGGGTTCGGTGTATGAAGAGCTCAAAGTGCAAACATAAAGTACAGTGGTCGCTCGCTAAGTTGTTAGGCTTGCCAAAAGTTTAATTGTGCAACTGTGTCTTTGTATTTGTATATATGTATTTATATGTACAAAGTAAACTCTAGAATATCTGCTATTACAATTTTTTTTTTTAATTAAAAGAAAATTTAATAAAAGTTTTGCTTTTAGGCATTGTGTTAAATGATTTCTTATATTACATGCCCATTACCAAGAATTGGTTTAAAATTATTTAAAATAATTCTTTTGAAATATGTTTTAATTCCTTGAAAATTAAATATTAAAAAAAAAAATTTTTAACCTAAAAATTGAGTTTGATCAAAGCTGAAATTTTAAAAAAATATTTTTATTTTTTAAATTACAATAAAAATTGAAATAATTAAAAAATAAAATAAAAAACATTTTATTTATATGCAATATTTTATTTTGATTATTATATTTCAAGCATGCATCACTGTACTATTTAAGTGCTCTACGTATTACTTTGCTTATGAATTATCATTAAAATTAACAACAATTTTTTATTGCTCATTTTATAGTATTTTTTAGCTTTGTTTGCATTCGGTTTTAATTTTTATTTTTTAATTTTATTTATAACAAACCTTGCCCAATGACATTGACATTGTGTGTGTGTGTGTGTACGTTAATATGTGTGTGTTTGTGTGTGTGCAGCCCGTTATCGAGTGGGCGCCAAAATGAGATTGTGTACGGGGCTGGGCTAGCAGATAAAAATAGTTCACAACAAATAAATATGCAACAATGTACAAGTCGTATATAAAGTATATATAGACTATATATATAATTCACTTTCAATTGTACCCACCTGTTGTTGTTGTTGTTGTTGTTGTTCTGCTTAGTTGCTGCTTAGCCAAATGTTAACGTTGGCCAAAATGCATTCGAAAATGTTGTAGACAACGACAAAGAAACGCAGCAGGCAATAGAATTCCAAAGCCAAAAGGCTGAGGATGGCCACATACAGATGATCTTCCTGCAGCAGATCCATGCAGACCAGTACTAAATACACTTCTAAATATATATTTATTTTTTTTTATTTTACTTTCTTTTTAATTGGCTGCGTAATCAAATTTGTTGGGGTTTTGCGTTTGTAAGTGCGACTGCGACTGCTGCTGCAGCTGCAGCTGCGTTTTTCTCGTTTTCCTTCCGTGTGTTTTGTGTATCTCGCCTGGCAGCTCGCATCCAAATCGCTTCCAGGCTGCAAAAACGCCCACGCGCCATCTGCAGCAGCAGCAGCAGCAGCTGCACTTATCGGGGGTTGCATGCAGCCGGCAGTACAGTGTTGACTCGCCCAGCGAACAAATTGTGCATTTGGTCGCCAGTGCGCAGGACGCCCACGCCATCATCTGTCTAACTGTAGCTCTCAGCTCTCTTCTGCCTCCACTCTGGCCTCTTCTGTGCGCCTGTGCCGTTTGGCAGCGCCTGTGTGGGTGCAGCGACCAAGCTTCACGTTCTCGTTCTCGTTCGTGCCGCTCTTCTGCCCACTGTAATGCGTTGTCATTGTGTGGGCGCTTTGGAATACGGTAGACAGGCGCACATGAATCAAAGAAGCCGCTCAGCTGCGACGCATTCCAGCGAAATGGCCAAGCGTAAGTGCACAGTGGAGCAAGACACTTGAATTGTGGATAACTATTATTATATTCAATTATTAATATATGAGTCATAAATGAAATATTCTTAAATATATATGCTTCATTAGGACTACGTATTATTCAGACGATCAGGAACGTGTCAACTGTTCTTCACAGCTGAGTAACTCAAAAAAATTATATAGTTAATGAACTGAACGAAAGAACTCAAATAAAAGCTTAATTGTATGACAGACTGAACTTGATTGAAGTTTGGACTGATCTTAAATATAATAATGTACAAAATATTGAACGAAATATAGTTCAAGGTCTTCAAAATTGTTCAATTACAGTTAATCATATTTAAAGTTATTATTCAAATATGAATTTTTAATGCTTATTTTTTATGAATCATTTATTCTGTGAAACGCTTGAATAAAATTCTAGAGGCGCTAAAAAAAATCAAATTTTAGAATTAGTTAATTACGCATTGAAGAGGACAGAGGTATAATTATTAATTAAGTAATATACAAATTTTTATAAACATATTTATAACAATTTTTTAATATTTTGCTTTAAAAATAAGTTAAATTTATTAAATATATTCTATTTATTTTTTAAAAAATATATGAATACCTTAATTTTTTTCCTTGGAACTACTTGGCAAATATCCTATTAAGGTATTTTGGCATTGAATTTCTATGCCTCGTCCTACTGTGCCAATGTCACTTTGGTCCTTTGCTACTTGCTATCTGTATCTGGTTGCCTGTTGCACAGTGAACTTAAGCCGCGGAAGTGCTGCATATCGCTCGGCCTTGGGTTCGCCTTGCCTGTTGCCCTGTCTGGCATTAGTTACGCTGTATTTTAGCGTGGGACGCGCCACAGACACTTGGCACAGGTGTGCAGAACCAAGCGAAACGGTTGCAACTGGGAATCTGGCAGGTCGAGCGCATGTCCGGGAGAGTGACTAACGGAAGCCAATGCTCTTGCAGTTGCAGCTCGTTTCGATTTGATTAGCCAAAAGTTTCCAATGCGTTACTGCCATTCCAAGAGCGAACGAAAACTAACGGACGGATGGACGGACAACCAGTTGCCATTATGATGTCTGACCCGGTCCCGGGCACAGTTGCAAAGCCAGAAAATAGGTGCGCATGATTTGTCCATCCAGTCTCCAGCTGCACGCACACATCCTGATTAGGATATGCCGATGCTGCTGCTGTTGCTGCTGGTGCTGCCTGCTTTTTATGAATGCCTGCTGACGAGCAGATAAAATCGATAATAATTGAAATGGCGAACGCATCTCTGACAGCATTTAAATGTTGTTCCGAATTGAGGGCTTCAGCTGCACATTTGTATTTTTTTATTATTTAGATAATCTAAAGATCAAATGCTTCATCCATTTTTTTTTAAATATACTAATTTATCATTATTATTCTTATATAAATATGTATATAGGCATCTGTGTAGCTACATATTTATAGTGCTCTGGTAATATTATATATATTACTGTTATTATATTTCAAATGATAATCATATTACTAATTATTATTATTTAATCATGTTACTAAAAATTATTATTAAGAATTGTACCTAAAATTAGCCATATAATATATAACAACACAATTGTTTTTAATATACTAAATATTATAATTAAATATTCAATTATTTACCACACCCGATTAGTAGAAGAAGATCACTCAAGATCAGGGAGATCAGGGATGCAACTGCTGCTGCAGGCTTGACCTTTATATAGGCAGCGACACTCCCACTCAAAATCGAGCTCAGCATTTAAACCATCTCTGAATTAGGTTTTCTTCTCGATCAATAATTGAGAAATTAGAGTCGTTTCTGATGTTGTTAGAATTCTACCTGCTGCGCAGTTCAGCTCTTCGTTCTCCCTTTGCGATATAGAAGTCTCTTGAATATCCTAAGGCAAGATAAAGCTTGATTGATTGACAGTGAAATATAAATGTAGATATATATACAAAAAATTGCAAATTATTATGTTCTAAATATATTATATTATTAAAATCTGTGTTGACAATGCTGTTTACTTGTATTGCAGTTAGATAAAAGCTCTTTCTAAAAGCAACAGCGTCATATCTGTATCTCTCACATTCTCTCCATTTCTCCTCCTCCTCCTCTCCCCTCTCTTTCTCTCATTCTAACAACTATAGCCAAGCAAAAAGCGCTTCCGTCTAAACAAGTATATATTTGTTGTTATTGCAAGAGTTGCTTCGGCCGAAGCTTTTTTAAAAGTTGTGAACAATCGAGATATGCAAATGTTATTAATGCTCATAAACTTCATATGTAAGTGCACCTATATCTATGTATATAAAATGACCTTGTCAAACTGCATATTCAAATACTCAATTAATTCATGATTTCACATTTACATATTTCATATGTTAATAATTAATATCCTATGTTTGCCTATCCACGGCATTTTGTGTATCGTTATTGAAAACTTGTTCGAGGTCTTTGAACGCTATAAAACTCAACGAAAATAACAAAAACAATTTGTGTAAGCTTGGAAACAACAACAAAGTAAACGGAACTTTACAGAATGCATGTACCAGGTGTGGTCAGTGGCCCGGCCTAATGTGAACTTGTTTCCAGTGACGCTCTGTCGCTGAATAATTCATTCAAGAAAAGCAATTTTCCGTGTTCAGCAATTGATGAATATGCATGAACA